AAATGATAAACATTTGTTCAACAATGTGTTTTTAATATTCCTTTCTACACATATATTTTTTATTATTCAAAAAATTTTCCTGTAAAGAAAAAAAAAATATGCCGAAATTTCTAGCTCCATACTTTGGTTCTTGAGTAGCTTTGCATGAGTCACAGTTTCAAATAATCCATATTCATCTCAACCTTGTTCTTCTCATTTTAAGTCAGCTTTTAATCTGATTGGCTGCCCCTCATAAACAGATGTTTTTTAAAGCAAGTTGGTGGGTGCAGGTTTCTGTGCAGATGGCCAGAGATTTGTGGCTAAGATCAACAGTTTAATGATATTTCCTCATTATTACATCATACTAAGCGACTACTTCATCCCTTATTGTATCACTGGAACCCCTCTAAGAGCGTTCAAATGCCAGAAAATAAAGAAAAGCACGATACCACCCCCCTTTATGTGACGCCTTTAGTGAAAACCTGTGATTTGAGTTTGTATCATATGTGTCATGTTATCTTAATATTTTCTTCTCTGCAGGCCTCCTGCTCTGGCGGGCAGTCCAGCTTTCTCCGACATCTCCCTCATCCGGATCTCGCCCCAGCGGAACCCGTCTGTGGGGGCTGAGTCGCCCTTCCACCATCCACACCCCTACATCAACCCATACATGGACTACATCCGCTCTCTCCACAGCAGCCCCTCCATCTCCGTTCTGTCAGCCACCCGGGGCCTCAGCCCTGCAGATGGTGAGTAAAATGAAACATAAACTGATACACGCACACACAACGCATGACGCGTGCACACTCACACACTCAGCTGCACACAGCCCCAGCAGAGGGTGATAAGGCCTCAGAAGACCCTTAAAAATAACGGCTGGAATTGATTACGGAGGTTCGATTGCTATTAGGGGGAATCTCGGTTGCGTGTATCCGTTTAATTCCTGTTCGAGATCAAAAGAGGTCAGGTGAGAGGCAACCAGATCCATCTCTATTAAGACCCAGGGGTTGGCGAGATGCTATCTGAGTGAGGGGAGCGGGTAGATGGGAGTATTATGAGTGTAGCGCCATCCATGTGGGTGGGGGCTCAGATTGGAGGGAGGCTAATCCTTTTGATCTGTGAGTCATGTCGGAGACCTCTGGAGGATGCATCAGTGAGCGGCAGGGTCACGTACAGTTACACCGCACACACGGAGGGAGGGTCGGGCTCAAGTTCACGGTTTGGTGGTGTAAAGGGGGGTGATTCGTATCGCATCCTACTGAGAGCAATATTACATCTTAATATAGATTTTAATTGGGAAGTCAATTGATCTGATGTGTAGCAGTTCATTTATTTTATACCTTATTTCATAAATATATAAAATAAGTCTTAGCAACTTAGAGAAAGAACAAAAATTTTTAAATTAATAATAAACATATTGAGTTATTTTCATCATGATTTTGGTCATATTTTAATTAAAAAAACAATATCTTTTATTTTTATGTAAGATCTTATTTGCCAAACATCTACATTCACCTCATAGAGCTCCAAATGTCCCAATAATCATTTATGGCCCTCACCTTCTCAGCCATCAGCCTTTTGGTACTTCAGCAGCAGCAGAGACCCACTTTAGCCCCCAACCTTGCACTGAAGTGTATTTCTGAAATGGCAAATAGCTGGGACATTTCCTCTGCACCCGTGCATTCGACCTCTTCTCATCCAGGTCTGTTGAAAGCTGTGACTAAGTAACGACCAAGAGTCCCCCCCCCCTCCCCCCTTGCTCCTTTTCGTGCACTAGAGCGATATACTGAAGCCCCGACTCTCTACCCTCCAATTTTCCATTACCGCAAAATAATGTGCGCCGGTCTCGGATTGCTTTAAATCAAAATAGTTTCTCCAACCTACCACATGATCCCCTTTTCACTCCATAATGCTGTGAATTGTGAATGAGGCACCTAATTACTCCTTTAATCAATCCGGTGATTAATTAACCCATCAGCTTTTGTGTTGTTAGTATATCACCGCGCTTACAGGGAGCCTCCTTCAATATGCAAAGATTTTTTTTCCCAGCAAAAAGTACATTTGAATAATGATGAATTAATTAACAGAATCTAATGGAGATTTAAAGTGGGTGGGATTTAGTGCCACCCTCTTGCTGCCACACATTTGCTTTCACATCTCTTTTTTTGTGCCCCCCTCCCGCCTTCAATATTTCTCTCTTTTCTATATGAGACCGAGTTCAGACTTAGGCTCGCCCCTGTTCCTATTGTTGTGCTGGAGCACCCGGTGGCTCACGGAGTCCTGAGGCATGTCTCTGCCTTCCCTACGTTGAGTGCCACACTGACAGCCTTCCCCCACTCCCCCATTTTGCCCCGAGGATCGCACTCGGATGCCAGCGTTTCTGATTTAGAAATTCTGCAAAGCTCTTTTCTGCGCACGGCTCCTGAATGGGACACATTATGGTTGAATGCAAAAGCAAAGCTAAGGCGGAACACTGGAGACAATTAAGAAACTCCCCCCTTCCACTGAAGACATAAAAGCCAGATCGAATTAATTTAGAATTTTTTTCTGCCATTCATTTAACCAATCATGGATGCGTTCTGCAGGCATACAGGCCAGCCTTAAGAGGAAATCTCCTCATACACTGTTTCTTTATTTATTTTCTCTTTATTTCTTCAATTGGGGGAAAAAAAAAAGATCTGCAGCACTCAGTGGTCTGAACCGATTCCGTATTTGCATCCAAAACCACAGTGTTAGTCTTTTCCTCTCTCTTTCTTAGAATATTTGCATACGGAAGCCCACCGCCAGATGTTTATTTTTAGGCTATGGTTCAAGGACTTACAGTACTCTATAACTAAGGGAATGACTTGAAAAAGAGAGACATTGTAGAGAAAGAGAGAGAAAGTGAAGTGGAGGCTGTATCCACATGCACACAGATCTATCTGGGCAGATTTAGGCCTTTTGTTTCCTGCAGAGTTTAAATGTGCAGAGTCGAGGAGCAGGTTGCATATCTGCATCTGCAGCCCCCATGCGCACAGCACACAAGCGCCGTGTTTGGCAAAGGATGCACCAGCCCACATACTCTTACCACACACACATACAGTAAATATATATATTCATGTACACGCTCATGCCCTTTCTCCGGGTGATCAGCACGAAGAGCGAAGGCTGTTTAAAAACTGCATTGTATTGTAAGGCGATCGGTTCTGGTGTTCACAACACGAATGCATCAATCAAACACTAATGCACACTCACTGTAATCTCTGAGCAAGCATCCGGTAATCCCCAGTGAGGCTCCCCACTTCAGGTGATGCTCCCTGTGCAGCTGTTTTGCTAAACTTGATGGTGTTGCTAATGTGCTCATTACTGTTCTGCTGAGCTGATTATCATCTAATGTAAATGAATGCAGACTTAAAACGCAGTGCAGGTGCTCAGCCTGTCATGTTTTTCTAACTCGCTAATAATTTTTCCCCTTCCTTTTGCATCTCTCTCTTTTCCTCTTCCGCCTCTACCCAGCCTTTTTTTTTTTTCCTTTTAAGTGTTTCTTCCGTGGGTGCAGATCAGTTTATGTTTTGGTTACTTTGTTTTCTTCTCCTCCAGCCCCTCACACAGGTCTGACCACAGCTGAGTACTACCACCAGATGGCTCTGCTGGCGGGCCACCGCAGCCCTTACACGTCTGACCTCCTACCGTCAGTGGCATCCGCCGCTGGGGCTAGCAGTGCCAGCGCCCTGCACATGGAGTATCTGCAGGCGATCGACAGTAAGTGTGTCTCTATATAAAACAACAAATAAATATCTAATAATTCTAGGATTACACTAAAACACTGCCTCACACACATTCCCCATTACATACGTCCAAAACTTGTTTGATCTCTTTTTTTTGTTGTTTTGCGTCCATAAGAAATACTGTATTTCATGAACTTTCATTATAAAAAATAGTCAATAATATAGACAGCTTTTTCTTTTTTGGCTTTTATTCATCCACTTAAGCACACTTTATCTGGTTTGCAGTTCACAAAGTTAAAACCCTGATTAAATATAGTTAAAAAGTGAAAGGTTTTACACCACTGAATATTACTCAGACTCCCCCCAAAAGGGGCAGCTTTGTACTTCATCCACACAACCTACTCACACAATCACACTAAACTCTAGTCACCTACAGTGTTGCACTTGAAGGCACAGATCAACAAAGAATGAAGTCTAGAGATAAATTGCAATAAATAGTAAAATACATGAAAAAATACATAAAATAAACAGACAGATTGACAAAGACATTAAAAATGATTTAAAAAATCTAAAGGTTAATCTACAGGTAAGTGATCTAAAAGCGGAGGAAATGAAGGATTTTAAGTGTCTATTTGTTCTGCACTGGGGTACTGGTGGGAGCAGCTTACTAAACTCAGATGACAGAACATAATCAGGGTAAATGGTAAATGGGTGGTTAATAATGTTTTTAATAATTGTTCTTTATCTAAATTTCTGCCTGACCACCAGGATTTTAAAGCAGGTGTTACCAATGGTGCTGAGGCGGTTTCCATTCTTAGCAATTAAAACACTAAACCAGCAGATAAAAGCAAAAGTTCAAAGACTCCTTATTGACATTAAGAGTATAACCTCTGTGATTTACAGTGGCTCTGAGTTTATTGGGAATTATATGTCAACTGTACTAGGCACCAAAACTGGACATTTACAGCGTAAGTGAATAGACGCCTACCACATTCATCCCTACATACCTGCACATTTAAGCATGAGTGGCCCCAGTGGGAATTCAACCCTTAAAACTGCACTTTCATAACTCACCTATCTTGCACTATATATAGATCAACCACAGCGAGGAGGTATCTGCAACTTTTTCCTCTGACATGATTTAAATGAGCTATTGTCTTAATGTGTTCGGCTCAGGTCTGTGTGCAGAGGACTTATGCTAATGAGTTATTTTAAAGTGTAAATAGGAAATTAAATGCACACTGAATCTTAGAAAGGTCGGACAGCCTCACCCCGTTCCCTTTGATGAGAATGTATTTAGTCAGTCAGACGCCGCTTTCATGGAAATCCGGGGTGAAGTTCCCCCCGATTCCTCAGAACAAACTAATTAAAACTAGCCAAACTTGTGCGGGTATCAGAAAATTAATTGCTATTAAGTGGGAATTGGAATGTCCCACCATTCATCACTGCAGAAATCCTTTCTTCTGTGTCACTTTTTAAGATTAATAGACTGAAACAAAACAATTAGGGCCAAATTTAAGTAGAGATGCGGCGCTCCTCACTTTAAAAAAAAATCGCCTGTGATCATTGCTGGTAATAACTCATCATGTTTCAACAATGTGTGTTCCTGCGCCTGAAATATTAACACTTTAAAGCTTTGGTTGGATTTCAGAGGAAAAAAAAAACACATACAAAGAGCGGCGTCTGTCAAGAGGCTTTCGCTGATAATCTGGGCTAGTACGACACTGCAGCTATTTTAGTCAATTTCAAATCAGTTTAATTACCTTCAGAGAGCGCTCTGCTAATGAAACAATGGGCCTGTCCTGCCTGTTTGTGCTCTAATGGGCTATTGTCTATGCTCATACTGCCTAATTAGCACCATAGCTCTCATAGATTACTAAAACTAAAGTCTACACTGCCATAAAGTCTTTATTTGTGGTCTTTATTAGCTGACTTTAATCTCCTTGCTATTCTCCACTAACAGCTGGCTGTTTTTCTTATAAACAGGCTTGCTTTTAGCAGCATTTTAGCATTTTTAACACCAGAGCTGTTTTATGTAACCTGATTAATTGTAGCTATTAATTATATGGTAGCACGTTAAGACTTCCTGTTTGGAATTCATAAGCAGCATAAACATTTCATAAATATTAATAATACATTAAAAGGTAGCTGTAAGCATACAAACATATTTACTGTTATATTACTGCTATAACTCTCCAATAGGCACCTTTAAGTGGAAACGTGTGTGTAAACAGATGAATAACAATGAAAACAGCTTTTTAAATATAAAATACATCTTAGAAAAAGTTATGATGTCTGACGCGGTGAAAATTAATAAACCTTTTAATGTCCTTTACACTCTAGCTGTCTAAAGCTACATTACTGTTTACTGTAAACTGTGTATTAAATATTAATATACCGCTTATTTATGAGAAATGATGGAGAAAATATAAAGTAAAAATGTAGTTTTAGCAAACAGCTGTTCACAAACAAAGAGATTTTGACCAGATTACTCGTTTATATCAGCGTCCTTGGATCTCTAAAATCAAGTTTATATCATACTAAAAAGTCTATATTCATAAAATCCCTCTCATGTGGCCCTCAGGTGTGTTCGAGACGGTTCAAGCACAGCTTCGGAGCCACGTTTTATTTCCACCGCCAGTCAGTCTTGCCCGTCTGAACCCTCTCTGGCCGTGAGAATTAATGACGGGGCAACTAACCAGCCACCCCGTCCATAAATCAAGAGGAAATTAGAGGGACAGTCCCGCAACGAGCCAGCACGTTTCTGTCTCGGTCTTCCCCGGTTGGCTGATTTATCATTTGGGCTGTGCATTAATAAATACCACTCCCATGAGATTTTGCAGTGTTGGGACACAGACCCATCTCATCAGCTGTATTCCCCCCCACCACCACCAAACACCACCACCCACCCCTTCACCTAATTCACCACAAGTAGACGCTTTCCCTCTTGCTCGCCGCTCTTGCTTGCGTGGAGTGTCAGCTGGTGTCAAATTTAGGACGCGCAAAATCAGATGTGCCATGCGGTGTTCCTCGCTGTGTTTAACAATGTGAAGGACCCCCGTCAGAAACACATAAAAAAGATGGCTTTTCCATACAGTGACATTATTAAGGCCGTGTTGCTCTCCTTACATGGCCTGTGTTTGCCAGAACACCACTGCTGCCACTGGAGCAGCATCCACACACACACACGCGCACACACACACACACACTGTGATTACCATGTGAATGGAGCGTTCTGTAATCGCTGGATGTGTCAAACGAGAGATGGAGCATTTACGTTTGGGAGATGGATGGATTGTGGGGGACGTAAATATGGAGGGGGGTTATCGGGGCTGCCTAAGCTGGTTTTGTTTGCCTTTATAAAATAACTCAAAATGTTTTATTTCCAAATCTTGAGTCACAAAGTCATTGTGTCAGTTCACGCACAAAGCACGACATCCCCTTTTTTTTTCTCCCCCTCCTTCCATCTCCCCCTGTTTTTCTCTGTCTTGTTTGTGACATCTCCATGTGAAAAGACAACAAAAGTCATGTTTTAATCTCTACCCGTGGCTCATTGTATGTGCGCAGAGAATGGTTGCGCCGTTTCCGCCTTTTACCTTTTCAAACCCCCTTTTTCGTATTTCCAGTCAACACTGATTGCATTTGAATAACGAGTCAAATTGGACTTGATTAAATATTACCATACACAGTCGGAGCATTTCTCCAACATAAAAGGCATGTTTTCTCATAGATGAAATGCAAGCAGTGCATCAAGTGACAGCCGAATACTCGTTCAGATGAGCCTTTTGTCTGATGATTGACAAAAATGTCATCTGTTGGGGTTAGATTAGGTTAGAGTTTGGATGCAAAAAAAAGTGTAAAAACCAGCAAATGCTCGTTTCATTTCAAACATTTTCAGAGTTTAACTGATGCTCGGATATGGGTGTATTTTTAAGTGTACCGGTCTTTCTAAACCCAGATACTTGGCGCTCAATCTCAACCTCTTTCCTCATCCCCCGCAGGCTCTCGTTTCCCGAGCCCGAGGCTTCCGTCGCGACCCAGCAGGAAACGCCCTCTGCCCATCTCACCCCTCTCTGAGCACAGCTTTGACCTGCAGACCATGATCCGCAACTCGCCCAACTCCCTCGTCACCATGCTCAACAATTCCCGCTCCAGCTCGTCTACCAGCGGCTCTTACGGTCACCTCTCGGCTGGGGCCATCAGGTAAAAACTGCCCTGAATGTTCTTATAGCTCCTGATTAATCGTTTTATTTGTTATTAGAATTTTGAATGGTCTGATATCTTTGTATTGTGTGTATTTGTGTGGAAAATGTGGATGGTGAAGAGGAAAGGGAAGTCTAATTAAGGACAAGTGGAAGTTATAGTGCTTTTCTATTCAGTTGTAACACACAAAGTGCTTTCATACAAGCCCGATTCACATGTGCTTTTCCCCTGTTTTAACCCAACATTCAAACTCTGATAGATGCATTGGGCTGACTCAGGGTTCAGTATCTTACCCAAGGATACTTCGACATGCAGTTAGGAGGGATCAAACTAGTAGACAAGCTACTATACTCTTGGCCTACATTGATTGACTCCCATGAAAGGAATTGTGGGATTGACCCATAATAGGGACTAAAGATTTTGACCATTACTTTAAAAGTAAATCACTCAGTTGTGAGTCACTTTTGAAGAAGGGCTTTGTGCATTTGGTTCTTTCAAGGTGGTCATTCTGGAACTAACATGTGTCAATAATGAATGAATGGATGGAACAGCTGACTCTCCCCAGGGGGAGGATTAATGCTGTACGTGGTGTTTCCGATGCCATCGATGCTCATAGTAAAACTCCATAAAGTTCAATAGGATCAGTGTGTACAACAAATGTGTACCAGAAGCGTGGGGTGGTGGGGAAATAAGTGTGTACGTATCGTCCATGTCAAGGCCCCGCGTGGGTGACGATCTCCCAGCCAGCCAGTCAGCCTGCCTCCCCGGCGGCTCGTGTCAGTCATCCGGTGCACCTCACGGAAACATCACATACATCACGCCTCTGTAACCGAGACTAGCAAAGGGAAGCGAAAGAGCAGAGTAGAGAAGGGAAAAGGAAAGATCCATCGCCCCACCCACAGCCATTGATCAGCAATCTGTAAGAAGAGCCTGATCAATCACGCTGCACACTCAGCCACTGTCCAAGTGTCAGGGCCCAAATAGCCAAAGCCAACAGACTGATGAGTGATATGACAAGCGGATGGGCCCCCAAATGTGTCTCGGCTCATTGATTTCCACTCGGCTCGTAATAAGATCAGCAGAAATATGGGTCGCAGCGAGAGCAAAGCGTCAGAGCACAATGAATGGAGGCCTGTGCTCGGAGCCACACAGATCTGTGTTTATTTGGAGGTCCGTCAGTGGTTATACAGACCCCAGGAGAGGTTCTGGGTCGCTTCTGGCATTTTTATCATCCACAAAAAGTTAGCTCAGGTTGCAGGTTAAGAAGCTACAGCGGGGGAAAAAACAAACTCTGCTGCAGTAGATAAAAAATAATTTACATGGCTATAAGATACACCTCAGATTATTTATCGTGTGTATCATTTGCCTGGTGGAAGAATGACATACTGCCTTACACAGACCACATGATAATTCACTGTGTTAACAAGCTGAACATTCATTGGCAGGGATTTGTCGACGGTCCTGTGGTTCCAGCATTACCGCACCATCTCCTGTCAGATTGTCCTCAGGGATTGAGGCGCTATCCAGAACAATCCATTTACTCACTATCTTTCCCCCTTTTGTGCCTCATTTCTTTTACAGCTGATTTTTTTAGTGAAGTAGTTTAGTGAGGATTTTTTTGTTTCCCCCTGCTCTCTCCAGCCCAGCATTAAGTTTCGCCTACCCTCCGACCCCGGTGGCTTTGCATGTGCACCAGCAGCTGATGGGCCGTCAGCCGGGCATTGTTGGCTCTGCCTTTGGCCACAGTCCACCTCTCATCCACCCAACACCAGCCTTTGCCACCCAGCGACCCATGCCTGGCATCCCACCATCTGGACTCAGTGCCAGCGAGCGCTCAGTCATCTCCAACGACTCCTCGCAGGTGAGAGCGATGGCTAGTGCCTCTGCGATTCATCATTGCAGGTAATAGATAGCAGCGTCTATGCCAGCCACATCTGAGGGAAATGCAGCGAGCTAAGGTGGTATAGGCAGGATCCCCCCCTCCATGTGTGCTTCTCCTGGGAGTTTCCTCCTACTTGTGTTGTCTCTTGTTTTTAGACTGCCGAGCGTGGCCCAGAACCCGCCTGCAGCAAACAACAAGGGGCTTGTTAGCATAGAATCCCACTGCTGACTCCATTAATCACTAGAGAGAGAACAAGAATATAGAGAGGGAATATTGACATGGATGGATGGATCCAAAGGGACTTTTTCCTCTCATTCCTCAGCCCTTACTGTATGTGCGGGCCTGCATTTGAAGTGAATATTCAGTGTTTATTACCCATCCTCCCTGCTGTGTCCCATGCCTCGAATTTTATGTTATCACAAATGAGGCCTCATTCAAATCGGGCACACCAAAATTGCCTTTTCCCTTTTGCTAGAGTCAACAGAATATTGCTTTGAGGCCACAGCTGAATATCAAATATTGGACAAATGCTGAGGAGACTGAGAGAACGGAGAGTTCTGTAAAACACTCCAAATTATGGGAAAAAACATTTTCAGGAATAGAAAGTCAAAGAAGAACTTGCCTGTTTTTTTCCACCAGAAGTTTAAAAACTCTTTGTTAATTCTTTTATTTCTTCTAGCTTGATATGTAACAAGAATTCCCTCTAGGGCATATTTAAGCCAGGGCCAAAGTCAGGTCATTCATTGGTTGAATTGGTTCATGTGTTTTTTTTTAATTGCAATGATTAGGGTAGCTAATGTGATACACTGAATTGCATTGCTTTTCATTAGCTCGGTTAAAGCTCTTGTCTGGGACTTGCAGGAATCGTTAAGGTTCAACCACGGTTGTTTTTTTTTTTTTCAGGCTGATTAAGTAAATGACTGATTGACTTATAAGCATCGCATACATTTTTAATAATACCATAAAGAATAAAACAAAAAAATATATATGAGGAAATGGAAAAATATACAGTACTGTGCAAAAGTCTTAAGCCAGCCCCCCCTCATTTTCTTTGTTTTGCTAAGAAAATGGTAAATAGGTGCAATTATTTAACTAAATATATATGCAAACACACATGGAAATAGAGTATTCCAGGCAAGAACACGATTTATACAATTCTAATGAGCTTTTATCCTGAGCTCACTTTAGCAAGCTTTATTGTGATTTCTTTAAGTAGTCTTCAGGAGTAGTTCTTCAGGCTTCTGGAAAGTAATCCAAGGCTCTTCTTTGGATGGTGGATGCCTCTTGTTCTGTTCTCTGATGAGATAATTTCACAGTAATGTTGAGGTTTGGGCTCTGGGGAGGCCAATCCATGACTGATAGTGTTTCGCCAGGTGTTTTTCTATTCAGGTATGCATCACTGCACTCTCAGTGTGTTTAGCATTATTGTCATACTGACAGGCATAATTCCTGCTCCCTAACACCACTGATTGAAATACAGACAGAGCTGCCACTGTGTTTTACAGATGGCTGTAGATACTGGACCATTTGTTAAATCTCTTCCATACATAATAGCAATGATTTGAACAAAAAAATTACATAAAACCTGTTTGTACTGATTTTCAGTCCAGTTGTTGTGTAATATGACAAACCTCAGGCTCCCCCCCCCCCCCCCCCCCCGTTTTACTTCCTCAAGACTTCAAGACTGACTTCTAGAAAGCCACGATTCCTCATTTCTCTTGAGGCTTCATGTGTCTTTGCTAAGCTGTCTGTAATGTGTAGACACAACAGTGGCTCATTATTTTAGTTTGGCACCTAGTGGCTAAACAAAGGAAAAAAAAAACACTGAAAATGGTCAGGCACAAGGACTGGACTGAAAATCAGTGAAAAAGCAGCCAATGTCCAAAGAAAGGCTTTGAGAGACCTTCAGAAAGTCTGGAGAGCTACTGCTCGTGACCAGTTTAAAAAAGTCTGAGCAGATTTTTGTACAGTATAGTCTTTATAGTTGAGACAGTGACACTTTAGGCTCAAAGAAATACAATCTAATAATGTAATCATGTAAATATTCAAATATTTCTTCACAGGCAAAACCAACGAGTGAATCCGCTGTGAGCAGCACAGGAGACCCGATGCACCACAAACGTTCCAAAATGAAACCAGAGGAAGAATTGCCGAGCCCGGGCGTGGTGAGCATACAGGTGGGAGTCACCCGCACTAACTGCAAACATCAAAATTAGCTTTCATTTACCGACTCAATAGGTATTTTTCACTTATATGAGAACTCCACACATTCTGGGGAAAAAAGGAAGCAAATTACTGCAAAATCCCACCAGCTTGATTTTATTTTTAAGAATAACAAGCCCATATAGCTGCTGGTCACCTGCCAACATGGCTACAACAATAGGCAAGCCTAACAGCCACAGTTTAGTGTTTATTTACCTGCATCTGGCTGATTTTCCCTTTTTTCCCCCTCTAATCAGTTTCAGTTTCCGAAGCAAAACTATTCATTGATCTTCGGGACACTGGTAGGAAATTGTTTTTGCTTTGGTTTAATCTGAATTTAAATGGCTGGGGTAAAGAAAGAGAAGTGTGATAAGAGTAAGTGTCTGCATCTGGAGGAAAAATCTTACGGGGGTCGATTCTCAGGCAGAAGAAAGAGCCTGAGGTGTGCAGTGGAAGCCCGGGCTCTCCTCTAAAGCCGTCTCCAACTCCCTGCTCTACTCCGGCATCTAGCTGTGACAGTGAAATATGTCTGGGCTAATAGAGCAGCCTAGGGAAGGAAGAGGGGGTTAGATTCCTCAAATACTCACCCCAGTCTTGTCGTATAAAAACCACCAAAACAGAGAGGGGCTTTCAGCGCTACATTTCCGCCCTGTACTCTTTTCTCCCAGGCAGCCAGGTGAGGTCAGCTGTGCGGGGGCACTGCGGCTACACCACTAACCAATAACCTTCAAGGCTGTGCCTTTCATGTGAAAAATGGCTTTTGTGACAGGTTTACATGGACGGATGTCAGGAAGAGGAAACGGTTACTTTTGCTTTCTAACTTTTATCTCAGCATGTTGTGCCGATGATACTGATTGTTGTGCTAAAACTTGTTTTCCTCAGGACAATCCCGACGGTATGACTTTGGTGAAGGAGGAAGGGGACAAGGATGAGAGCAAACAGGAGCCAGAGGTAGTTTACGAGACAAACTGCCACTGGGAAAACTGCTGCCGTGAGTTTGATACGCAGGAGCAGCTAGTACAAGTGAGTAGATTTTAAAACCCACTAAAAATCACAAGAAGTGTTCAACAAAATAACTATAAATGACCTAATATGAAAACAATTTTTCGTTGCAGTCTCACTGTGCTCATACTGTCAGTTTGAGTCACAACAAAAGGGTCATGAGTTCAGGAAAAAATCAGCTTAGCATTTTAACCAAACGTGGAAAGCTATTTGTGTAAGATACCTGATAATTAGTATTTAGTAACAGAAATAAATGCTACAATGTCACTCACAGACTTTTGTAGACTGTCATATTATTTGACAGGTAATGCCTGTAAGCAGATGTATGAATATGAGTATGTACAGTATGTGGACAAAGGACAAGATTTTTATTATTGGAAGCTTTCTGGCTTCTGTCCACAGAGAACGTAAAAGAGAGTTGGCATGTGTGCAAAATGCATTGGATAAGCAGATGGAAACAGAACCCAGCAGACTAGTGAACAGATTCCCTAGTTTTTGTTAGTATTATCTTACAACTTGAAGTAGCTGAGGTGATGCCTTTTTCATGGTAACACAGGATAGCGTTGCATAGGTATTCATATTTGGGGCCCACCTCTAGTGGCCATTCAAGAAACTGCAGGCCTGGAAGTTGCTGCTTGGATTGCACATAACTCCTGGACACGCAACTAAGCAACTTAGTCCCAAAAATGTTTAGTATTTCGTCACATCAACTAAAAAAGTGTTCATATGTCAATGTTGTGGCCTCACTGGAGAAAATTTCATTGTCATTTGAAACTGCCCATCCACCTGCAGCCTTGGACTTGCATAGACTGTTGTTGGTCCGTCAGCCAGTGGCAGAGAAGAGCGATTTTATAACACAAACTGTGAAAAGTGACCATTGCCGCCACTGTCTGTACATTTCATGCTTCGTTTTTGGATTTTTATTTTAACCCATCAGCATTCGACCAGGCCATCCTCCTCCAGCAGCACGGGAGTATGTTTGTAATGGGTGAAAATCCCTCTTTGTATCCTGTCTGTACAGAAATCCATACGCAAATATTTGCAGTTCTATTAATTACACATAATGTCACTAAACTGTGCTCAGAATATTTGCTTTCAGTCACTTCGACCGCTTTTTTTTTCTTGCTGCTGTTAAGCAAATGGCTGCTATTGCACTCAGGTGTCATTCATGGCTTACTATTGGGAGAGAAGTTTCTGCACTTCTCTGACAGGAGCAGCTTGTCTTGCAGGTAACAAACAGCGAGACACAACAGGGTGTTTGCATCTGTAAGACGCAGCAGAGCTACCACCACCAGTCTGCTTTTTTTGTTTTCTATGCTGTGAGAGGTTTTTGCTTTCCCTTTTCTCAAGCTCAGTACGTCCTAGCACAATCTACAGAAGCTGTGCTATTTTGGACAACGCCTGCTATCAGCCAACAACTTCTGCCTGCGTGTTTGAACACCAGCAGCAGCTGCAGCAGGGTCGGAGCTGCGGGCATCGGCTGTTGCTGCCGCTGGATAATGCTTTTGGAGATCCGTGGACGGTGGTAATGGGCTCAGAAGCTGAAAAGCACATCACACAGCTGAACGGTGCAAACTGATTTGGAGGGTTAAGCCTTCCAGAGTGAGCTTTGTGTATTACACTGACTTGGCCGAACCCCCCCACCCAGCCCTCCGGTCTGTTATCTGAACTCTCACACAGCCCGGGAGATGGATGGCTCTCATCGTCTTGTGCCCGAGGGTTCGCTGTAAAGCTAAATATTAATGACATCACGGCTGTGTCACCCCCGCCACGGCTGCTCACACTGGCACCATTAGCTTTGGCCCGTGAACAGCTCGGCCATCAGCTAAGTCGAGGAAGCAGAAGTTCAGAGCGAGCGATGAAATTACAACAATAGAAGGGGACGGTGTGCGTGTGCGCACGAGACACACATCTGATAGAAAGATCCTCAGCTCTCCACAGCTGTCTACTTGCCGTCTTGACATTGCAATCCTCAGCCGCGGTGGTAACCCCTATCTATAATTGATATCCTCAGCACGGAATGGGCTGCCTCCCGTGTTTGAAGGGCTCAGCTCAAAGGTTGAGGATCTTGACAACTTCTTGCCCCGTGTTTCAGGGGGCGGGGGGCGAGCGGAGGTGGTGGGAGAGGAGGTGAGAATGGCCGATTATTAGAAAACCTTACCCACATCCACCCACCTTCTTTAGTCACACCAGGTGGCCACTCGAACAAAGCCGTGTCCTCTCATTCCTCCACATATACTATCCGGCCTAACCCCGCCAAACCGCTCTTATTATCAGATCGCCGTGTAGACACACGCTAACAAAATCCTTATTAGTTTTCCATTTTTCCATCCGCCTCTCCAGCGTTTGACTTTTTGATATTACGTTTTATTTCTCATTTTCTATGCACATGCAGATATGCTGAGAGATGCCAATAAAAGTCTTCGCCTACAGAATCCCTGCCCTCTAATTCAGCAGAGCGGACGGGAAAATGCTCTTATCTCTCCGCACCCCCACCCCCCTCAGTAATAGGATAAGTACAGTATTTGGACCACAGTGGCTCTTCTCACACATTGGGGAGGGGTTTGGGGGCTGGGGGTGGAGGGGGGGGGATTTCCATATAACTAAACAATGGAGCGTCCCTTCCCCCTGTACTTGTCTTCTGAAATGGCTTTGGGGGAAAAAAAACATGATGAGGGGGAAAAAAGCCTTTTTCTCCTTGGTTGTAACTCTTTCAACCAACACAAACTTTCTACAGCGACTGTGTTAAGAGTCGCCGTCATACCGTAAACGCCTTTTAAGTTTTAAAACTGGCGGCTTCACTGATTCCAATCCCCCTCCCTCCTTTTTCTTTGTGGTTGGCCTAATTTTAGAATTAAGCCTTTGCACCACCCTCATTGCTCTCCACCTTGTTCAAAAGCACTCCTGCCGTGCTCTTGATGCATATTTTTACACTCTCAAACGTGCTTTCACCATGACACGCCACGGCGTTCCTTTATCATCTGCGTTTAAGCGCTCTCGGTGCCACCGATAAGATAAACATCAGATCTGTGCAATTTGGCTCACTTATCTGGCCTACCCAGTCAGCAAAAGCGAGGCGGGCGTCAATTTTCGTTTGCTGTATTTATTTCATTTATTACATTTCAACTCTTTTGTACCTCTCCCATCTCACTCTCCCCTCAGCTACACATTCTTTTGCTTCCCCATTTTTTTTTTTTTTGAGGGTGGGGGTGACACAAACCTCTCCCTCTCTCATTTTCTCTTTCATTTTCTCTGCCTCCCCTCTTTCCCCCTCAGAGGGAGTACTTTTAAAGATAAGGCCTGGTGGCTTCTTTAATGTCTCTCTTGAAGTAGGATTTTTTTGCTGGGGTTTGTCGCCAGAGATGTGAACCCCACACTCCCAAAATTCCCTAATATGGCCTTGCTGAACAATCTTTTATTTTTTCATTGATCTATTACCGATCCTTCACCAATGAGAAGTCTAAAATCAAACTCTACGTTGTTGCTGCTATTTAACACTGAAAAGGTTTTGAAAAAAGTGGCTTTAAGGTACTTGCATATAATGCAGTTTTACTCGATGATTCATTTTTTTACCCTTCAGCTTTTTTCCCTATTCAAAGCCTGTTTATTTTAGAATTACGTGAAAAAATAGGTGATGCTGTACTTAAACCAATTGTGGCTTCTGAATTATTTCTCTCTCAGTATTGCAGGCAGGCACAAATAGCAGGCTTGTTTTGGAAGATATGACAGACTTTAAACTGGGGTGTCTGAAGAAGTTGGTGGTCTGCATGCGTGCGATTTTTTTTTTGAGCTAATAAAGCCTTTTGCATCCTCCAGAGCCTACTGTTATGTTCCAGGTCAGCTTCATAGGTGGCGCTGTGATGTCCTTGTTCTTAGATGGGGAGCTGCCTTTGCTCAGCCGGTGTGCACCCTCGCTGAGGTGACTGCTGCGCGCCTCCCCAGTGTTAAAGGGAGATAAACGCAGGCGCAGTCTGAAGGCAGTCCCCCACACACCCTCTCCCGCCTGCTGGCGCAGGCCTTTAATTGGTAAAATGCAGATTTTTTTTGATCAGGAGAAGGATTAGGCCCCCTTATCTGTCTAGAGTATCATACTCTAAGATGAAAAGAGTGTGCTGAATTACACATGCCAATTCTGGCTCCCTCACTTACTCTCTTCCCTTCCTTCACTCACTCATTCCCACCCCCCTCACTTCCCATTTACTTCCTCCCTCCTTCCCTCCCTTCTTTGCCTTTTTCGTTCTCGCTCCCCCCCCCTCTCTCTTTACACAATGCACTTCACCAACTGACATCACAAAGGAACATATGATTTATTAGGCAGCGCTTGATAAAGCTAAACGGTGTTGCGGGTCCCACAGCTTAGTGAAATTGCCTTGTAAACAGGCCCTCTTTTCATGCACGCTTGCATTCTAATGCGTGGAGGCTATGTCCCAGAGAGGGTTTGATAAGGAGACATGGAGATGGATACTGAAGTGGGGAACGGCAAAAAATGAAAGAAAAAAAAAAGAGAGAGTGGCTTGATCCTGTGTTTTAGTAATGCATATAAGACGTGAGCATTTGAGTATTTTATGGAAACAAATCATGCTTTTTAAATTTATTTTATTTTATATATATATTAGTTATTTTACATATTTTGTTTACATGAGTTGGAGTGTAAAGCAATTGTGTATTTTCGGGTTATTTATGTTTATTTTAAACAGTTGTTTGAACCAAACAAGGATATGGACCAAGAAAACAGTGCCTGCACCTCTGTGTGTGTGCGCGTGCACCTCATATGTCACAGACGGCTTCACTGTCCCCCGTGTCCGTGTCCCTTGCGTTCCCCGTTGTGCGACTCCCTCCTAAATCCATCTTGGTGGCGTTTTTACAGTTGTTGGCCGATAAGCTGGCAGGGGGAAGATGAATAACCTGCCGCGCCGGCGCTATCAGCACCTGTTTGTCGATTTAGCCGGCCAACGGGACCTGTCTGCTCAGCATGGAGATTATTGATTCAATAAGAATTGCCATTAGATCTTGCCATTAGGTTTCTCGGCGGCCCTTCTCCCCCGTGCTGCCTGTCCCCCTTTTTGTCAGCCCGGAGGCTCATGCATCACGCCCGTCAACGACCTCCTTCGTTTTGTACAAACAGAGTGTGACTGCGTATCCATCCGTGTGTGCGAGCGCGCACTGCGCCGTGCCATCCACCGGCATGATCCAGCGCCGCGGCCCTTCTCCTCATCGCTCTCAGCCGGCTGATATTGAACGCTGGTCACAACAGACCGATCGCTTGCCACCGGGGTTCCCTCACGGAGAGGAAGAAAAAGAGAAGACGAGTCAGGTTTTTCCGAAGCTCGGACCAAGGTGGGGGAGAAGATCAATCTTGGGGAAACTTCGCTAACGTCCATGGTCAATCAGGCTCCAATCATTTCCCCTGGAATTAGTCTTGTTTTGTCACTTTAAAATTAAAAACTGTCAAGTGAGAATAATGGCGGTTCCTTGCCGATATATTAGTGTCAATTTTACTCTTTGCTTTTGCGCTCTGCTGTTACTGTTTTCACTCATTTGTTGGTACTCATCCTTTAGTATTGCTGGGAAGGGAAAGGCTTGGGGTCAGAATAAAAGAATGATTTTAAGAAGCGCGGCGTCTCTTTGATGTCATGGTCATGCTTGCGCTTGGGGTCATGATCTAGCCAGTGAGCGAGGAACTGAGAAGGTACAAAGATGACATTGTCAGGGCAGCTTCATGCCTGGAGGGTAAATGACCCTGGGTACTTTATCTGCTTTGGTCCTGCATGTTTTATAGCTCGACAATCTTGGATTTCCCAGAGATTTAAGAGCGTTCAAAGTCAAGTATGTATTCATCTCCCTTCCTCTGTCCCTCCTCGTTCACCCTAAAGGTATAAAGAGTCCTCTCTGCTGCTCAGGAATGTAATAATGCTGGTTTCTTTCAGTCAGGATATTGTCTGTCTCTGTGGGTTTAAATTGCTCTCGGATAGACACTTCAGAGGCCACCACACACTGTTGTCTCTGAAAGAGAGCCAGATGTTGACTTCTTCCCCAGAGCGTCTACATCTTCACATCCCCCCCGCCTCCCCTTTTCTCTTTCATTCCTCTGTAACTTAGGCCACTTATCCCATTTTAGAAGACAGTTTGTGAGGAAAAAGAAAAAAAAATGGAGTAAAAGGGAAGAGAGAAGGGGATGGAGCAAGGGAAAGGTGGTACTTGCAGATATAATGCTTGGCTGGAGTTGTAAAGCCCTCGCATTTCAAACGCCTCGACTGAACTTTTGATTTCTTTCCCTATCCCCTCACCTCGCTCCCACCTCCCCCGTCTTCCTAAGCCTCAGATTGGAAGTTGCCACGGCAGCACAACTGTCAGCACTTGTCATGGAGGGGCGCGAGCCCAGCGTGATGCGAAGTGACAGGGTTTTATTTGAAAATCCCGTTCAGATCGGACACCGAGACTCACACGTCTGCCTTTTCTTTGCCTGCTTTTATGCAGATTTCAATACACTGTGAAAAAGAGAAAGACTGTAGAGGAAGGAGACTGAAGAAATTAAATGGAGATTTGCCAAAGGAAATATTATATTTCCCTCTATGTGTTGCAGAGGGGAAAAAAATTGCTCAAGCTGAAAAACAAATACGCTCGACGCAAAGTGACGTTCCACTTCTCACGAGAGCGGTCCCGTTTTAAATTCTCTCATCTTCTTTTGCAGCACATCAACAATGACCACATCCACGGAGAGAAGAAGGAGTTTGTGTGCCGGTGGGAGGAATGCTCTCGAGAGCAGAAGCCCTTCAAGGCACAGTACATGCTGGTGGTCCACATGCGCAGGCATACTGGGGAAAAACCGCACAAGTGCACAGTAAGGGACGCTCAGATAGACTCAGCTGATGTCACATTATTGCGACGTTTGTGGTAAAAAAATGTGATGTGTGAGTGAAACTGTCTTCGTCTCCTCAGTTTGAAGGCTGCACCAAGGCCTACTCTCGTCTGGAAAACCTGAAGACTCACCTACGCTCCCACACCGGAGAGAAACCGTACGTGTGTGAACACGAAGGCTGCAACAAGGCTTTCTCCAATGCATCAGACCGGGCGAAACATCAGAATCGAACACACTCAAATGAGGTGCCAACAGGTTCTTTCACACATTCAACATGCCAAAAAAAACAAAGAAAAACAAACAAACTCAATGTTCGTCTCTCGTCTCTCTCTTAGAAACCGTATGTCTGTAAAATCCCGGGATGCACAAAACGCTACACAGATCCAAGCTCCTTACGGAAGCATGTTAAGACGGTACACGGGCCGGAGGCGCACATTACCAAGAAACAGCGGGGCGATTACCCGCGCCCGCCGCCCCAGCCCCGGGAGCCTGGGGGGAACGGCCAGGGTCGCTCGCCAGGGCAACTTCCGCTGGGCGGGTATACGGACCAAAGGGAGTACAACCACTCTACCTCAAAACAGGACGATTGTCTGCAGGTCAAGTCTGTCAAGACAGAGAAGCCCATGGTAAGACTTCAGCTTTTGTATCCTTCTTGCCGACTCGCATGTGTTTAACTTCATTTTGATTCCTGCACTTTAACTTTCTAACATTCTGACTACTATTTACTTAAACTTAGTGAATGAATGCCAAGTATTTAGGTTTGATGTAGCATTTAATAGGGGCCATGCACGTTTAACACCATAATCTTCTAATGAGTACATGTTTCCTTCTATCCAATGCTTCGGCATTTCTCTCCTTGCCTTTCTAAGGACAGTGGGTAATCAGGTGAGATAGGTATCACTTTATATTTTATTTGTAAAATATTCTCATGTTCTTTGCTCATCGTCCTATTTCCCATCAAACGTTTAACATCCTGTCACAACTGCTCCACTTGTTGACTTTAAAACATGCCAGATGGGTTCCCATTCCTGGTTTCTCTCATCCCTTAAATTCGTAAAAAGACTGTTGTTCTTATTGCATTGTACGACACTTTGATATTGACCAAAGGCATTGTGTTACTATAAGCTGAGAGCATGCCTTTGGGGAGAACTGCAAGGGCACTGAAAGTAAGCTTGATACTGCTCAGGGCTGCACTGTGCAGCCAAACTTAATCACTAGTAAACAGGATCAAAAGCACTAAACACTATTTCAACTTGATGCCAAAAAAAGGATCTCATTATTCCCATCTGCAATGTAATCTGTAACATTCCATTAAATAAAATCAAAAAACAGTAGCTCAAAAAGATATTTGACTATTTTATCCAGATGTGGTCATATGAGAGGAGTTTTTGATTCGACCTCTGTTACAAAAAAGATGCTTGGTGATCCACAGACTATGTGATGGTGGTGATTTCTGTTCCATGTGTACAATACTCGTCTGCTTCTCATGCAGCACCACAGCTGAGCAGACCGTGTTAGGGTCCAGTAGATGTGGTCACAAGTATTCTAATAGATTTCTGAACAGAAAATAAACAATGACTCGGTGATGTTCTGTTTTCAATATACGTCTAACATTTCGCATCCGTACAACTATCGGCTAATATATACAAAAGTCTTAAGTTTCCTCTAATTGTTTTATATTTTTCTATGGAAGTGAAAATAGGTGCATGTAAACATGGAAATACAGTATACTGGGCAAAAACAGACCACAGATATTCTTCAACACAACCTGAACTCTCTCTGGTAATTTTCCAGGCTTCTTGAAGAGCATTCAAGGCTCGTCTTTGAATGTTGGTTTCCTTTTGTCCCATTCACTTACAACATGCTGCATTGGCAGTGTGTTTTTCAGTCACTGGCATGCGGAACAATGAAACAGTTACCAAGCAGATGCTTTCCAGATGTTATTGCATGGTCAAAGAAAATCTGATGGTACTTTTCTCTATACTTTCGTGTACTGTTTTTTTAGAACTGGCACATTTTCTTTTATCCTGCACACCATGCTGAGATATGCTGATATAAGTTTTTGCCTAATAGCTCTTTAGGAATCAACTTGTTGGGGGCAAAAATGCTTTTTTATACAAATATACAAGACTTTTGCACAGTACTATAGACAGTGGAGATTTTATACACTGAAAGTTTTTAGGTTGTATGACTTAAGGTCCAACTTTCTATAGACTTAAATAAACTAAAGTTTTTTTCCCCCAAAAGATTAAAAGTAACTTTCACACAATCATTACACACACACACACACGACTACAGTTGTGTTTCATAATGGTTCGTTTTCATGAATAATGATCATTGTCCAACATTTTAGAGTGCATGTGCATTTGTTATCATTTGTAACGCTTTATATCTTCACCTGTGTAACCTGGAGTCATTGTTCCTAACTATTTAACTAATATATTGATTTTTTTTCTCACTTCTCTTCTCCTATTCTTATTCTTCTCTTTCTTTCCTGGCGTGCATCAGACGTCTCAGCCAAGCCCTGGCGGTCAGTCTACATGCAGCAGTGACCAGTCCCCCATCAGCACCTATCCCAGCAGTGGAGTCCAGCTTGCTGTGAGCGCCGGACGCTCGCCAGGGGAGGGGCTGGAGGAGGACGAAGAGAAAGAGGAAAACGAAGAGGAAGTAGAGGAGGAGTGTGAGGGTGAGCCAGCCCCCATCATGGACTCCACTGTCTCCACAGCTACCGCGGCCATGCTGACCCTCCAGGCGAGGCGAAGTATCGGCCGCCCTCTGCGATGGATGGAGCACATCAAGATGGAGAGGCTGAAGCAGGTGAATGGAGCGCTGCCCAGGCTGGGGCCCCTGTCCCCTACACCGCCCCCCAAAGCTTCTGCAGTACCCAACATGTTGGGGAAGGGTAAGGGAAACGTTTACATTTTTAAATGTCATTTTGTCCATTTTATTTGAAGCTCAAATGGGATTGTGAAGATTAAAAAAACCCTCTTATAATGGAATGGTTTAAAGACATGGTAGTTAAAAAGCACCTGTAAACAGAATTCACACCTCACCATGACCGTGCACACAAATCACAGAGATAAATTATCCTGAATTTCATCTTCTGGCTGAAGGATTCAGGCAAAACAAATGCTTAAAATTTACTGTTCTGCTGGAAAATGGTATCAAGACCATATCAAGCTGTATATCATATCAGAGAGAATAGCATGTAATGTGATGTTTCATGGCCCAACTGCTGCCAGTTGTCTGTGGTAACATCTGTTTGAAAGATCTCTCCACACTTACACTTAACTTATTTGGCTTCTTCTCATCATCTTTGACTAATATCCCGTTTTCACCACACTTTTTTCCCCCCTCCCCTCGTTTCTCTTTATCGTGTCCAAACTTTTCTCATTCCCATCTCTTTGTCTGCGTGTCTCCCCAGGAACCTGTCTGGGCAGGCAGTGGGGGGTGTCTGCCCCTCAGCCACCTGCTCATGCTGAGCTGGGCAGCACAGAGCTAACAGTGCTCAACTTGCTCAGAGACCGGCGTGACAGCAGCGGCAGCGCCACCAGTTCAGCCTACCTGAGCAGCAGCCGGCGCTCCTCCGGCATCTCCCCCTGCTTCTCCAGCCGTCGCTCTAGCCAGGCTTCCCAGAGCGAGGGCACGGCAGCAGCCGCCCACCACCGCCGCCACCACAACCTCAGTTCCACCGACTCTTACGACCCCATCTCCACCGATGCCTCCCGTCGGTCCAGTGAAGCTAGCCAGTATGGAGGTGGGGTGGGAGGAGGGGGTGGAGGGGTGTTCTCAGTTGGGGGCTGTGGAGGTGGGGGAGTAGTAGGCATTGGGGGAGGAGGAGGGGGATCACGAGGGATGCTCAATTTAACCCCAGCCCAGCACTATCACCTTAAAGCCAAGTATGCAGCAGCAACAGGTGGCCCGCCTCCTACGCCTCTACCCAACATGGAGCGCATGAGCTTGAAGACACGCATGGCCATGATGGATGAGGGTGGTAGCAACCACTGTTTGCCACCTCTAGTCAGGCCACCTCGCTGCAGTGACGGCACCAGTGGGTACAGCAATGGCTACACGGGACATGCAGGTAACAGGAGGAGGGTCTTCTACCCTGGTGAGGGACCACTGAGTGGAAACCGGAGGGCTAGCGACCCAGTGCGGACGCAGGCTCCTGAAACTTGTAGTTTCCCTCCGGTGCAGCGCTTCAGCAGCCTTAATAACCTCCACCCTCTTCCGCCTCTTGCTCTGCACTGTACGCCTGAGTCTCGAAATTTGAACCTACAGAACTACACGCACTCAGAAGGCAACCTGCACAGAGGCCTGCAGCACTCGCCATACACCCCTAGCATTGCGGAACAAGCGGCCTTAGAAGCTCTGGCAATGGAGGACAATGGGGAGGCTGAGCTGTTGCTTGGGGATGAGGATATATTACCAGATGATCTGGTGCAGTATCTCCACTCCCAAGTTCAGTTGGACAATGGCTCCCACATGCACAATGAGGACCAAATAGCTTCTAGCCAAAGGGACACCTCCCACCTATCTATGGAGGAGATAGACCAGATCCAAACTCCGGGGTCAAATACGGCCTTCCCTGGGTCCCATAGTCTTCAGCAGCAGCAGCAGCAACAGTTACGAGAGAGGAAGAGCCCCAGTAAACTTCCCATCCAATGGAATGAAGTGAGCTCTGGGAGTGCTGACAAGTGTCCTCCAAGGGATCAAAACCACCATTCGCAGTGTAGAAGGTGGCCTAGCACAGAACACGGGCCTGTGTCTGCACCTTTTGGCAGGTTTGGAAACATGGTTATTCAGCAGCAAGTACCCGTTGATTTCCAGAACAGTTGCGCCCAAGCTAATCAGTCTCAAAGTGCTTGCTGCGTAAACCCTGGAGTGAAGCTAGAGACATCACCTAACTCCTGCTTGGAAATGAGAGGTACTGGTCAAAACTCTACAAACAACTTTAATAGGTCTAATTTTACACAGATCAGCAATGGACCTTTTCCCCAGGGCTTCAGAGAGCAGGCCTCCAACGGATTTCAAAAACAGAGCCACTTCCATCAGAAGCACAACAGCAGCTCTTGCCAGGTAGGAAACAACCTAATCCTTAGCAGAGCCTCCATGGATTACCTCCCCAGCCTCTCCCAGGGGTCTGCTCTTCATCACAATCGCCCGGTACATGTTCCTCATCCACCAATCAACAGGAACTTGGGCAGAACCCAGCAATACCTCAGTCCCGGGAGCACCAATGAAAACGAATCTTGCGTCACTCAACAAGCACAACTGCAGAGGAGTGGCGAGAGCTGCTCCCTTGCGAATCAAGTTTCTGGGCTGAAGCTGGAGTCCCAGGATCATGGATACTTAGAGCAGGGCTTTGTTGACTGCCCCTCTTACGAACCAGCAGATCATAAGACCTCCACATTCCATGTTCTGGAAGATCAGTGCTTGTTGGACTCCATAGCTGCATCTGAGGGACAAGGTGGTGGAAGCGGCAACAGGGTTTCGGTTGCTCTTCTCTCCCCTGGTGCAGATCAGGTGACCAGCACAGTGGACGGTAGTGTTCCCGGTGTTTTAGATGAAGGGGTAAGTCTGGACTTCGGTGCCATGCTGGAGGATGGCTATGACCAGGGCAGCTTGGTCTCAGGAGCGTTGAGTCCCTCCGTCTTCCAGGGTCTGTCCAGGACCTCCTCACGCCTCACCACCCCTCGGGCATCTGCTGCCTTCCACAGTGTGGTCCCTGGCCTAAACAACATGGCCATCGGAGATATGAGCTCTCTCCTCACCACCCTTGCTGAGGAGAGCAAGTTCTTGGCTATAATACAGTAGCTGCTCTCTTTCTCTCTGCTTTCTCCTCCCGTAGAAAAATAAAGGAAAAGGAAGAGGAAAAACTCTGGTGTATGTGAAGACAAAGTTAAAAGCGGTAATTATGAGAACTTTATGTACTTAGAAGTGTTCTGAAACAGGCAGTTGCCAAGCCCTTGCTTTTTTATTTTGTAAAAATGTCATCCTACAAAGAAACGGGATGTGTCAAAAATTGTGTATAAATAAATAGTTATATTCCTTTTCTGGAATGAAGGCTATTTTTGGAAGCCCTTCTCTTTGTAAAACTACGTGATGGTGAGCAAAAGCTCACGCCCTTGAATCAGTATTCTGTGTATTGTTACTGTTTTTGCTGTACGCCCTGTCGGTAAAAAATAAAATTAAAATAAATGCATGTACTCAAGTGAAACATTTAACACTGTCTATACGAGTGCATAGACTAGCCCACGTGCCCACGTATCAGTCGTGCACCGCTCCCACTGGTACAAAGCAAATGAATCCATTGTCATCATAGGAAGTGAGACACGGGTCATGAATTCAACAGGCCCCGAAAGCAACTTTATATATCATAGGTTTTAACAAGTGGTATATTTACATTTGTTGTTACGTTTTTGTTTGTACGTTCCTTTTGCGAAGCTGTAAATGTTTCAGTGCTTCTACCAAGTTTTGCCAAGTGGTGTTTTTCCTCGACACGGTATCGAGTCCAAAACGCGGACCACACATCCGAGTCTTCAAGGCGCCGTAGATTGTTGTCTACTTAATATCTAAATGGCTTGATTTTGTTAGTCTGGTAAGGTACTCACAAGTGTATATAACTGTTTTTATATTCTGTTTGTTTTGTTGACGTTGGATTGCACGGTTGTTCGAAGCTGATGTGTAAATGGACTTTCTCTCCTTGATTTGGTGCTTTTTTTTTTAAAGAAAAACAAAAGAAATAACAAAAAACGAAAGATGCTTACATGGATTGATTTGAGTACTTTCTATGGTTTTGAATTGTCTTAATAACTGATGGCGGTCCACAGCACACAGCGTTTTCCGCTCCCAATGAAAAGTGCTGTACAGTGACATGTTTTGTTTTATAGGAAATCATGCGTATCGTTCTCTCCAAAGCTCTTAAATTCAGAATGTGTACTGCCATTAAGTATTGCAGTGACTTTGTCAACAGTGTTAGTATTGCCTTGCAGTCTTGTGTGACTGCACACAGAATATCGAGTAGTTTACCTTTTACTCTGCATCAAAGCAGTGAGGTACAAACTGTTTTATTGTTTTTTGGTACTTTTTTGGTCATTTTTGTAGCTGTGCATTGATGGTGTTTACTTTCTTTGGTTTTGTTGTGTGTTTTTTTTTTTCTTCTTCATTTTTTCAAAGAAGTAGAAATCATTTCCCTTTGAAAGAAGGAAATTTCAGAGGTATGTGCCTTATATGTATCTGCCTGTCAGAAAAGAAAGAGATCACTGCCAATCTTCCATTGTGAATTATGAAAAGAATAAAAAGTAAACATGTAAAGTGTCTTGTGGGGTCTGAAAAAAAGAGAAAAATCACAGAACATTTATATAAGAAAAGTCTGGATATCAGAAAAGTTGAGATTTGCGAAATGCATTCTACTTTTCTTTTTTTTTTTCCGTTGTTGTTTTTACATTTATTGTGCTTTTATATATATATATATATATATATAATGTAAATACATTACTCATGCTGTAGTTTTAGCAGAGGAACTAGGGCAGGGGATATCCTGGGCCAATACAGAACTGACTTTGATAGCAGGGATTCCCAGGCCCTGGGTAGAGGCCAGGTAGATCTGGCTCAGAGCGGAGCTTCAAGTGCCCAGCGCTGCCCCTCCGCCAGAAGAGCCACTTTGCTCTTTTATAACTGACTACAAATGTTTGTATGGTTTTAATAAAAATGGAAATTATATTTTAAGTGTCTTCCCTTCTTTATACTGCGGTTTTGATATTATATGAAACATATTGCTTTGAACTCTGTGCCTGTTTTCATAAAGACAAGATAAGAAACCGAGCTACTTCAGCAACTCTGCACACATCCACCTCAATTTACTATAAATCAAAGTCACTAAAAGGAACAATATTGTGCAAGTTTATTAAAAAAAAAAAGAAGAAAAAGACTGCAAGATACAAAATAAAATAGTCTGATGCTACTTCAGACTACTGTGTGGAAATATTCTGCCATTAAAAGTAAACACAATGTTCCAACATGAGTAAATTCATTCAGAGAAGCGCGAGTGTTCCTGATGCCCTCTTTTGATCATCAACAGAGACTACACTGTAAGGTTGGAGCTCATGAAGTTGATGGATATAAATTACATGTTTGGTTACATATTCACATTAGAAGCAGTCACGTCCTCATCTATGTTGAGATTAAAGCCAGCAGGTCTATAGCCCACGTCTATTTACAGGCCCCTTAAAGCTGACAGCCCATCAGCTCCAATCAGAAGTCCTTTTAGTGTGAGCACAGTGAGATCTTGCATCACTTCCACCCCCCCCTCTCTCCCCGCCTGACTTTCCAGAGCGAGAAAAAAAAAAAATGGGAGTCTTTTCTAAGCGAGACTCCCATTATGCTTTTAAGGAGCTCGACACAAGTGCAATCATACAACGAGAACGAAGGCTACAGTTAGACTGCGGAGAGGGAGAGCAAGAGACCTTTAAATTGTTCCAATGGGATACAAGATGGAGCGCTTTTACTTTTGATGCTCAGAGGCTGCGGCTGTCTCAACAATTTTTTCCTTCCCTCTCAAAAAAAAAAAAAAAAAAAAAAAAAAGGAAGCTTGCCACCTTTTCCAACACCCCCTTTGCATCCTTAAGAGTTCACTTAGCGGAGACTGAGGATCCTGTGAAGTAAGACACCCCCTCCCTCTCCATTCTCAATTCTGTTCATGCATCTCTACACCAGAAAAGCCATTAAAATTATGAATAAACAAGCTGAACAGTGCTACATCACATTCAAATGAAGAAAGGGTGTTTGGTATACAATAGGAAACATTTTATTACTAAAAACTTCTTATACTGAAGGTGCTCTTTCAGCAGCGTTTCCACAACTATTCTTTATTGAAATCACAAGATTTTTTTTTTTTAACCACTTACTTGAAACAAAACAAATCATACATGAAATGACAGTAACTATGGACTATATATACACAACAGTGGAAGAGAGGTGGGGTTGGCTTCAATCGGCCAGCATTGTTTGGTGTTTTAACACACTAGGCTCGTACAGGAGGCACTTGAATGTGAGAGCCTTAAGAGCCACGACCTAGCCAGAGTGCTGGAGGGAGAGGAAGGTTAAAAATGGAATCGACCGGCAACAGAAAACAATGACTACCTGCTTTAAAAATTAAGAAAAAACAAAACAAAAACTTTTTGTAAGGAGTCCATAATATGCATCTATTCCTTCAGCTCAGACCTCGAGACCCGAGGACTGGTTAGTGGTGGAGCGGGGAGGTTGTCGTCGTCACATGTGGGACACTGATGCACATACAGAGCATTTTTACAGGCCTGCACCACGCAAATCTATAGCACAAAGGGTGCACATTCAAAAGCATGCATCGCCCCACAATGAGCAATGTGGTTATAAAAGAGGAAAGGTGTGTTTATGTTAGGACGTCTGCAACTACGACAAAATTCAACTGTCTGCTGCTCGAGATTGTTAATGCAATAGACATACACAGTATTTACAGGAATCATATTTTTCTTTTAAACATCTGTTTCTCCGATGCCAGTTAAATTAAAAAAAGAAACTGTAACTCATTGGATATCAGGGAAAAGTTTACAGTGACAATTGAGAAAAAAAAAACAAAAAACTATGTTTTCAAGAATGGCTACCATTTCAATGATCTATTTACAATAAAACACAATTATGCATCCATAAACAAAATGAAGCTGAGGACGAAAAAAAAAGATCCATGACATTCTGAACAGAAGTCTGTGAGTTGGCTGCCTCACTGCAGAGTTCCTGTCAGAGCAGGTTTAGTGGTTGGCTCTGTCTGTGTTGCTCTGGGAGTGTGTGGTGTTCAGCGTTTCAGATCTTCTCCTGGATAAAGGGGTGCTGCAGAGCCTGGTTGATACTGATGCGCTTGGCTGGGTCCAGCATCACCGTTCCATCCAGCAGGTCCTTCAGCTGCATTACCTTCTTCCTCTGGTCCTCAGGCAGCCGCTGGCCTCCTATCATGTCTGCCAGCAGGTCTTTGGTGGGGTTGATGGTGCTCATCACTGTCACCTTCTCCTAAAGGCGTTGAGCAACAAAAATATAAAACTTTTAAAACTGCTATTAAAATAGAGGGACATGTAAAAAAAAGAAAAAGAATGGTTTAGAGGCAAGAAAGAACACCTTACCCTTTCAGTCACTTTGTCTACTTCAATGTACAAGAAGTTCAAATTCTGATCGAAGTGCTGGTCTTTGAACAATCCTTTACGGATCATCTGTGGAAAGAATCCAAAACATTGCATCAGTCTTCTTGAACAGTGCACAGTAGAGCAACACATCTCCCTTCATCTAGAAAAGGGGAAACAATCACTAAAGGAACTGAAATTATATGATGCAATTTCACCTTGTTGGGCATCTTGCCCTTGAGGTCCATAGCCAGCTTGAGCATGTGATTGTTGGAAGATCCAGGAAGCAGGATTTTGCCTGTGTAAAGCTCGTACAGAGTGCAGCCGACGGACCACATGTCGATGCCATAGTCGTACGGCTTTCCTATGACTGAGGAAGAAATTATGAGCAAACTTCAAATTTAAAACGAGCTGATTAATGGTGAATATTTAAAGAAAAGAATAAATAGTGGTACTTACTAATTTCTGGAGCCCTGTAAAATCTGCTGACCAGATATGGTGTGATGTCATTGTCAGCAACATGTGACGCCGAACCAAAGTCACACAGCTTCAGGATGGTCTTTGACTCGTTCACCTTTTAAAGACATGAATAGAAATCACACGTGGCACAACTACTTTGGTCATTCTGTGAGCCGATTTAAGATGACTGAGCATTTGAGTCATACCAGGATATTATCCGGCTTGATGTCAGCGTGGAGGATGTTGCATCGCTTGAGCAGCTTGAGAGCCAAGAAGAGCTGCTGGCTGTAGGAACGCACAGCTTTGATGTGAAGCCCAACATCTTTACCGTACTTCTTCAGCACCTCTCGCAAATTCATGCTACAAATGAAAAATTTACAAACTCATGAATTATGCTGAGGTAATTAATGAAGAGCACACCTCTCAAAATATGATGAAAATGAATGTGATGTCCTCTCTCTGAGTACCTTAGAGGCTCAAACACCAAACAAAGATGCTGCTTGTGGTAAAAGTGCCTGAAAAGGCGCAGGCAGTGGAACTTGTCATCGGGATCAGCGTCATTCAGCTTCTTGAGGAATTCCAGCTCTTTTAATCCGGTCTTGTGCCTGTTCAAACATACATCTTGTCAGGAGTGAAGCCATTACGGTATTTAAACAGATCAATAACTTTCACATATCGTTAGCTTCATAGCATAAGTGCCTAAGTCATTTTTTTGTGTTTTCGGAAAACAAGAAAAAACTAATTTTCTAAATATCACATGCAATTTGACCAAAAAATGACTTAGGCACTTATGCTATGAAGCTAACGATATGAAATGCTGGCATTCATGGGAAGACTCACATGAGCTCGTTGTTTCGGATGATCTTGATTGCCACCTCCTGGCCGGCTCTGGCAGTGTCTCTGGCTCTGATCACATTGCTGAACACACCTTGTCCAGTGTAGCCATACACGTCGTAACGTTTGTCCAGCGTCTCCCCGATGTTCACTCCTAAACAACAACACAATTTACAAATGTGTAAAATGACTGAGATGAAGTCTCTCGTTGCACTTAAAAACAAACTTTGATGTGCGACGAACGCAAACAGGCTACAACCTTCATTCCTGGTGACATTAAACAAGCATAAAATGTCAGTTAACAGAAAGGAAACACTTACGGTAGTAACCCTCAGCATCAGTCCAGTTGTCCCTGAGGTTGGGGTTCTCCTTGAAGTCCTTTCCTACACCTGCTGCTCTCATCCTGGCACTCTGCAGAAAGAGCATGAAAAAACAGAGGTCAGTAATTCACTGGTGTACCTCAATAATTTACACTCTTCTGAAGAACGACACAAAGACACAAATTAAAAATAAGTGAAGATTTTAAGATGCCCTACTGAGCTCAGTATTTAAATACTTACGTCAAAGTCTGCAGCAAACATGTCATCTGACTCGGTAAACATGTCTGGAGCTGAAGGCTTCTTCGGGTTAGATCCTGAGACACACAACAACAACAACAACAAATTATACCAGCAAAAGATGAGTTTCTGCTCATTCAGCATGTTGTAAAAAAAAAACAGTATATCTGGAACTTGTGTTTGATTCACATACTCTGCAGAGATCAAAACATGCTGCAGGTGGCAGAGACACCAGGCTTTGGATTACAAGCCAGCAACTGAATGAACACATGACAGAAAGAAACAAAATTAAAATCCCTGCATCACAAAACGCTGCATTTCTCACACAAACGAGCCACTAAATACCCTTTTAGACATGTGTACTTCCTGTACTGGACGTTTTTTAACATGCCCCTGTGTTAAAATGAAAACACCAAATTGTTCCAAACTGCAGGGAAGCAATATTAATGCAGCGTCCTAGCTCCAATTTCAAGTAATGTAAAAACGCTTTTTAATCACATTTCACGTTTATAAACTTGATTTGATTCATTTCTGCTGAAGGGACCGTGACAAAACCAAGAGAGAAAAAAAACAAAACAAAACTGAAAAGTGCCATTTTGCTTTCAACAAAAATCACAGCCAGAAAACTGGGAACAGGCTGTCCAAAAGATTGCCATCTCTGACAGAAGGAGCTTTTAACTGTTAGGTTTCATCTCTCCGCCATGCTCACAGAAGACTGTGCTCTTCAGTGATCAAGTGGGCACAGGCAGCGACTCAAATCTCTTTTCAGAAAAATTTCAAAGGCTTAAGTGAGGGGTGGAAGTAAAGGAAGGACAGCGCAGAACAGTCTGTCGTTACCTGGGTCAAGCTGTCTCCTTTTTGCTAAGATAACACATGAAGGCACGTTTGTATTTGGCCTAAAACTGACCATTTTAAACAAGCTCTGTGTTTTCAGCGGTCACTGGTATTTAAATTTGGATTCTTCCGCTTCATATGCAAAACAAAAAATAAACAGCATTGCCATTCACCAAGTGCGTTGATTTAAACTGGTGGGAAATGCAATGCATTTCATATGTTAGCTATGGCAGAATCAAAACAATACAGACGGGGTCTCCCACTTTTAATTCATTCATTCCGCCTGTTTATAATAACTTTATAATAAAATTCAGGAGCGCATAAAGGAAGAGAGTATACTTTGTAGGATGTCAGGTCAGTATGCAGTGATGTAGTATGGCCAAGGACACATCAAAGAACACGCTGCTAAAAACAAGTGGCTCTAACACACCCAGACTTCCTGCAGTTCAAGCAATCAGACATTACTGTGTCCTGAATGCATTCACTTCTGTGCTTAAGCTGTCCACTTATGCTCAGATCAGCCAATACACCTGCCAGTGTCAGGTGCGAAAAAGTAGATTTCAACCTCTGCAGTAGTTCTGGAAATAACATTTCAGCTAAAAAACATAAATAAAATAATAATAACAATTAAAAAAAAACTCTCAAAGGCTTCTGCTTGCTCTTATTGTGACAAGCAGGTAATAGGGTAACATACAAGAGTCTTTAAGAGATTCAAGTCCTTCTCCATGCTAACAAGGAGAAGGAAAAGAACATATCTGCATCCTCCTATAATCCATTAGACTATTTTAAAGAGATCCCCTGAATTTGCAGCCAACCAGGATGCTCACAGCTGACAGTGTGGTTCATTCAGTTGGCCTTGTATGCTAACAGTCATCATTCTGACTGGAACATTACCATCTTTCTCCTGGGCGATGAGGTTGTGCTTGGCTTTGATGCTGGCCTCGAAGGTGTTAACGTTCTCGCGCTCGTACTCCTTCACGTCTGCGGCTACTCGCTCCAAGATGTCATCGGGTGAGGGCGAACGGCTACGCGTGCTGCTCTGGGGGCTGCTGGGCTCTGACGTCTGATTGGTGTCCTCGTTCACGATTTTGTACTTCTGTAAGGTGGAAAGAACAGCTGAGGTTTGTAAGAAGGTCACTCATCAAATCCACTTATAGAAGTTACAAAAATGCCAGACATGAATTAGCGTGGGTATAAACAGACCCGGACGATGGCCATGCGCTGTTGGCGGCGCTGCTCAATGAGAGCTTCTTCATCTATCTCCTCACCATCAAAATCCTCCAAACTGCAAAAACATGCCAGAAATTAAAATTACAAAGGAAACACTTTCCTGTTAACGACTAAGCAACAAATCGTGCCCTGATGCATTAATGTGAAACAGGATATGATATCAGCTACAGATCATGGACGTCCTCAAAGACGAGATGGTAAAAATTGTCTTATTTCTAATCAATATCTACAAATGCTAAGGACTCAACTTTGTTTTGATTCATTAGTGCCAGCATTAATTCACCAAAAGCGGTTGATATGAATGGCTGCAGAGACGTTGTACCACACCGTTTCACAGCAAATTTGAACTCTGTATGGCGAACCCGATCGGATCTTAGTTTTTATATCACTTTTACTTACACTTCTTCCTCTGAGGACTCCTGGTCGACTTTCATGCCTTCTGAGAGACTTCCCTTGAACTTGTCTTCATCTCTGTTGCGTCGTCTTCTTTCCCGATCGCGGGACATTGAGCGTCGATACTGTCGGAGTCGACCATATCGGTCTCTCTCCCCAGACCTGTGAGGCACAGACGTGATGACAGGAATCATTATTTACTTCAAAAAGAAAAGAGGGGGGAAAGGTACTAGCAGACAGGGATATAAACAGAATTCATATCTAAACAACTGTTGAACCACCAAAAACTAATTAGAGAAACACAAGAGTTCTCCAGCGACTTTTGAGAACTGCTTTGTTGTGACTTGGGATAATGTCTTCTGTCACATGTAGACAAGTTGAGTGAAAAGTGAGCGGCCATCACCTCCGTCTCAGTGGAGACCTGCTCCGTCTGCGGGGGGAAGAGCGGGAGCGGCGGCGCGGCGATGGGGACCGTCGTCTTAGAGGCGAGCGACTCATCCTGCGGCGAGACGATGATCTCGGACTGGTATCACGCGATCGGTCTCTGCCTGGTCCAACATCTGCCCGAGAGCGCTTCCTGGAAGAACATAAAAAATAATATTTCAAAATCTGTCATAACTTTACTTTTGCGCCTTCAAGACTTTTTTTTCTCCGCAACTTTGGATCAGCATTTAAACTAAGTTAAATATATCATTATCTTCCAGTTTAAAAAAAATAAAAAATCTTTAGCTTTTATAAATGAACACTCAAATATTTTACATTTTTGCAAACTCACTTTTATTCATCTGAAACTGAAAGGCAATTCTGTCATCTGTCACAATCAGCTTATTATGGGAAACGTTGGAAAAGCCAGAGGTGTGCACTAACCTCAGTGGTGACTCCTGTCTCTCAGCATCTCGCCTCCTGACCTCTAGTGAGCGGCTACGGCGTCTCTGGGGCGAGAACCTAGTTCTGGATGGAGAGTGGCTCTGTTTTGATATCCTTTCTGAGGCACTAGCCGAAGGGTAGCGGGCATCTCTATGGCGAGGGGAAGCACTGCGTTTCCTTGCAGGGCTGTGAGCCCCTCGTCTATGAGGGGAGCGGTTTTCCTTTCCTAAAGAAGTGTCCTTGGATGGTGACTTGGCTGGCCGTTTGTCCCGGTCAGCGTCTGAGCGACTTGGCCGTTCTCGTCCAGGCGATCTGGACCGTCGGCTCACTCTTTCCTGGTTGGGTCTGTCATCCCGCTGCGGAGAGGACCGTTTTTCAGTGCGGCCGACTTTCTGCTCTCCCCTGAAGCTGGAAGGAGAGTTGGACTTCCTTCTCTCCTTGGACCTATCAGTGCTGTGTGAACCCTTCCTGTCTTTTGACCTGCTCCTTCCTCGCCCTCTGTCTTTTACACCTGTGTCCTTGGTGCTTTTGGTCACCTTGTCCTGCTTAGACTCCTTGGCTAGCTTGTCTGCAGACTTACTCCGACTACGGCGTTTGGAGCTAGACTTACTGCCCTCTGTTGAGTCCCGTCTAGATTTGCCACTTTTTCCTCTGGGTGATATAGGTTTACCTGAGCTGCCCCTTTGTCGTGGTTCTCCATTTCTGAACCTTGCATCTCCATCCTCTTCAGATCCAGAGTTATACCCCTGAAGGATCAAACCCATGCCAGACTGAACTTTTCCCTCCATCAACTGGCTGTCAAGTTCAGCTTTGATCATGGCCCTCTGTTTCTCCAAATCCTCCAGCAAGGCCCTGTCATCCAGACTTGGATTTCCAGAAGAAGGAGAAGATTCAACTTTTCTATGAGTAGAGGAGCCAAAGAGGACAGCGGCAGAGGGAGAGGAGCCCTCTTTGCGTTTGTGTTTCCTATGTTTGTGACGATGCTTGCGTTTGCGGTCCTTGTCCTCATCAGAGGCATGTTTGTGCTTTTTGTGCTTACTGCGATGCTTGTGTTTTTTCCGCTTGTGTTTACCGCTACTGCTGTGATGTTTGGACCCCTCCTCTGTCTTCTCGCCATTAGTTTCAGCCTCCTCCTAGGATGTGAACATACCAGGATAACAATCAATTTAGTTGACAGATGATCTCTGTAATTCTTAGTTATGGTGTAAACAGATATAATCTTGTTTTCTTTGAGTTTTTACCACCTAACCAACCTAGACTGTATTCAGAATGACTGATGTAGACAAAAAGTGTTACTAAATTTTGGTAAAAGTTGATCCTACAGCAAGTTATAGTAGCACAGTTTGGTATAGTCTGAGTTTTGTGTTAAAAGAGATGACACCAATTGATGGCATTTAGGTCCTCACATTGTCAAGCCCTACCTCCTCCTCCTCCTCTTCAGATATGTCGCCGCTGTCCTCATTTCCACTTCGTTCATGGCTTTCCAGATCTTGCTTCCTGTTTCAAAAAAAAGAATATTTAATTGCTTTAGTGCTAAATTATTTGGCTGACTGAAGTCAAAAGGAAACAAAGGTCTAAAAAAATAGACACAGCTGTGTCAAATATTGTTTTTGGACTGGTAGTAGGAACACACGGCCATAGCAATGCCTGACCCTGAATGCAACTGATAACATCCCATAAAATGAGAAGCACAGAGTTCTGCCATCTGTCCAAAATACTGACAGGTGCTTAAGTTTAAGTGTCTGGGATATAAAACACTATGATAATCAACTAAAAATTTCAGTTACACATCAAATCTTCTTGTGGCACTATTATTTTTTTCCCCTTTAAATCTGGAAAAATAGGAAACTCTGTCCAATTATTATTTCTTTAACACACAATGAAGTGAACACGATTTACAGTAACAAACATCATACAACGTGATCAGTAGTTTTAATTTTAATACATGTACATAAAAAGATCATAAAGATAGCTATTCTTTCCTCGAGGTAACTTGCAGGCATTGTGAACATTTAGTCTAAAAACCAGTTCATAGCTTACACAACATTCATTTCCGAGTTTAACCCATCATCGCCCGAAGTGTACCATTTTAGGTAAGCGTAAGGTGTTTAACATCGGGCATACCGGGATTATATAACGTGGTCAGTTTAGCATGAAGCTGTAGAAACACTGATCAGAATCGCTCGTTGATGAGAGAGTGACACTCGGTAAATCCCCGTGTAACCTTCACTTGCTCCCTCGTTCTCCGAGCGAGACCGCCAAGATGATTTTCACTCATTAGCTCTGACATGCTAACCGTCTTTAGCAAAGTTAGTGCTAAGCAGCTACATCCACTGAATAATTTTTGCTATGCTAACTTACATTACATGATAGCTGCTTGGGAGCGAGTACAAACCTTACACTGCGTGTGGCTTAGCAGGTACACTTTATTGACGCAAATACACACAAACGCGGATGAGGTACACTTCTACATGCTATCACCGAAACTTAGTGCTAGCCGCGCTGAAGAACATTAGCTAGCTAGCCAAGAACGTTAGCCTATCGTGAGCATGCCCCGGCAACAACGTGAACTTGCTACTCCGTTAGCCCCGGCAATGATAACACTTCCCTTCATATTCGACCTGAAAGAGGCCTATAACTTACTGCCACAAACTTTAAGTATCTGTAATTTAATAACTTACACGTGCTCGTTGCCATTATTCATTCTCCTGGACGAGATCTCCATCTCAACGTCGGCCATTTTCCTCAGCTGAGGGGGCTTTTTCTTCTTCGGCTACTTTCTCCACATGGGTACAATGATATCAAAATACTGACACGTTCCTCTGGTGTTTTGGCGGCGCATCGCAGTCAGAATTTGTGCACTGAAGTCTGTTCTTTGTCCACTAGAGTGTGTGCTTGTGTAACTTGAAATTTTCATATTAGCCACTTACGTCTTGATGCATGCTCAATCATCCAGGTAAGTAACGTTTACCTAAGTAAGTGACTTCTTCGAAGAAGTCACTTGGATGAGTGACGAAACGTTTCTCCCACAAAACGCTACGTCCAGATGAACAGAATCAACTTTTGGAGATTAGCCACTTACATTACACACATACACCCCCTGCCCGAACAACTGCCAAATTAAAATTTTTATAAATTTTTGGTAATTATGTCAAATTTTTCACCTACTAAGTATCTCGAAATTTCAAATTATTTCTGAGTGAAAAAACTGTAATAAGCAATTTGAAATGTAAAATTATTAACCAAAGTTTTTAAGTTGCAAATTTCGTGTTATTATCTTAAAATGTCGAAATGCTAACGTACAAATGGAAAAATTGCAGAGTAAGATAGTGTTCTGAGATACGCAATTCAAGATATTAAGTCATTAACCAGAAATTTTAAGGTGCGTTACTCTAAATTTATATTTACTGTTTGTGTACTGTATGTGTTGTCCTGTATGTATATTTAAAGCGAGAGAATAGCTCTTTTAGCCAGTGTGACTGTTTTTAACGTGGCTTTTAATGATCTGCTATTTTGTATTATTCACACGTTTGTGCTCACTTGTCTGTATGCAATATAGTATTTGTTTTTTACTTGTTATATTATTATGTGTCGTATTAGCTTTTGCTGCCCTATTGGCCAGGCCTTTCTTGGAAATTAGATTTAAATCTCACCTGGATAAATAAAGGATAATAAAGACAAATGTATAACAAATACCCCACGATGTCCTTGATCTTATTTGAATTTTCGTATTTTTTCTGTATAAATAGATGGGCGACCTGAAGACTTGGATACAGGATTTTAAATGACCACATTGGCTATAGAAAGACTGAAAACATAGTCGTGCAAAGGACATGCTGTTGGAGCCTGTTCGGTCTGCTTTTACCACACGATGGCTCACGAGGTTAATTACAGTTGGATCATCTGTAGTGGTTCATGTGGTTGCTGAAAACCCCTCGTGCGCATCATGATTGCGCACCTCAGTGTGCGCCAATATTCAACAGAATGACACATGAATGATTACAGTTTTATCTCCAGTGCAACATTTTAACAGCAATGATTTTGCGGAAGTTACTTAGTATTATTGTGGTAAAAATAGAACAAGTAAAAGCGTGTCACTGTGTGATACTTGAGTTCTTTGCCTGAACTTCATTGCCTTTTATTTACAGTATCCTCAGGTCATTGGTCAGGTTCTTGTAGCTTAGAGGAATGTGCTTTTTGTGTGAGCTTGTTAAGCCACTTAACACTGACCTACGAATCATCCAAACATAAAAAGACACATAGCACAAGGGATGAACCAGTATAGTGCCTACACATGACAGACAACTTAGCAAAGATATTTCCATACATCCTAGCAAACAATACAGAAATGTTCAGCGGTTCAACACTTCTACACACTTCTATAAACAGCCTTTTTCTTATGGTAGTCATCAGACCTGGAAAAACAAGAACAAGTCCAGTATCAGAAAGTGGTAATCCTTCTGAAAAGGGGAAAAACAGCATGTGACTCTGAAAGACAGAGTTAAAAAAAAACACCAAACACCACATCTGCTTTATCGTGTTGCCTCATACAAAATGCAAAATAAGGTCAGACAGATCTGAGACATCATGTTCGCAACACAAAAAGTTGCGAGCTGTTCGGCGCACAGCTCTGTGAAACCGCATGACTTTCACGGATGCAAGCGCATTCAAGGGCTGGGCATTATCCACTTGTGACAGTTTTATATCAAGCAGTAAATTGTGGTATTGTGAGACACCTGTGGCTGCTCCACAACAGTGACAAAGTAATGGAAGCATGAAGACATAACGGCAATAATGCTGACATCCTGGCAGATGGGATGAGATTTTCTGGCAAATGATGATACTGCAGATGGTACTATTATCATCATGTGTTTGATGACATCTTGATTTGTGTATGTTTGAGTACTCTGAGATTTTGTTTACAAGTACAACAAGCATATACCGAAAAATACCCAACGCGACTTGAGTTTTACTGGAACCCCTCTCACGTAAATCCACACTGTATGTACAGAGTATAAACACACAGAGCCTCGGGATGTAACTCACAGCCTGGGCCTTCTGCCGTGCAGCCTATCTCAGATTTATATGGTAAAGTTGCAAGCTGGAGGTCTCACAACTGATTAAAGTCTCTTTCACAGAGACATTAGATATTCCATTAGTTCACAGCCCCATCCCAGTGTGCCCAGTAAATCATGGCAGTATACAGTACGAGGCAAATGTTGTATACTCCATTCTGCCGTGCAATCTAAAGACCAGTCTGTCTTACATTGTATGATTTATGAGGTGTGTAACTACTTATATTGTGTAAAGCTTGAAGTTCTTGCCTAAAATAATTTCTGACACCTGCGTTTCATCAATATCATTTATCTTTTTTTACTGTATTCATTTGACTTAACAAAGCAGCTTAAGAACATTTAGTTTTAAGATACCAGAGTGTCCATAAAACTATGTTGTCAGGCCTTGTTCAGATGCAGGAAACTTTATTTTCACATTTCCTATTTCCTTATTTTAGGTTAAAAATCTGCTCAAATTTTACATCTGTACAACTGTAAATCTAGAATAAATCTGACTTTAATGAGAGCATATAGAACATATAATGTACCGTTTCACTGTTTGGCACAAGTGTCGAATAATAGCAGCAGTAAGCTGTAATGCTAGAAGCATAAGTAATGATTACATACTTTGAGAGAAGGTGCTGATCTCAAGATCCTGTTTCAAGTCGAGAAAGTCCGAAGCGTCCTGGTGATTGCTGCTATATTTCGATCCATACCCATAAATGATGAGACCCTTAATCAGAACATTTGTCACAGAGTTAGAGCCAGATTGGATAGGGCTGTGTGACATGCCAGCTACCCAAAGGCGAAGCCAAGATATTGTGAATGTTCCCCAGTGGCTAGCTGCAGTATATGTCAAAATCCTAAGAACCTAAGTTGAACTAGTTCATTTATACCAAATTTGTTTTCCTTCATATTTAGTGATTATGTCTTTTAAAGCTCCAGTCTTCATTTTTCTAGGGATGCTTTTGATTAGCATTTTGATGCTATTTGATCAGCATCATTGTGATTACAGAGAACAACATATGCAAAACAAGCTGCTGATGAAAAATGTGTTTCATCTTGCGAGAATACTTGTCTAAAAGGTGATAATGCACATATGGGCTGATCAACCACATACTGATACATGGACATGTTGTTACCTGTATTATTCTCTGGCTCTCTTCCACAGCTTGTCTTTCATCCTGTCTTCCTTCTCTCACTTCAGCCGCTCACAGCAGATGGCCCCGCCCCTCCCCTCCCTGAGCCTGGTTCTGCCGGAGGTTTCTTCCTGTTAAAAGGGAGTTTTTCCTTCCCACTGTTGCCAAAGTGCTTGCTCATAGGGGGTCATATGATTGTTGGGTTTTTTTCTGTATGTATTATTGTAGTGTTTACCTTACAATATAAAGCGCCATGAGGCAATAGTTGTTGTGATTTCACGCTGTATAAATAAAATTGAATTGAATTGTTAGCATGGGTAAAAACTGCACCTTTGCACAGTTATACAATCACTGTGCTTTAAGATCTGCAGCCACATTACTGATGAATGGACATTTCACAAATAAAGGCACACTGACACGGTAGATCTGATTCATGACTGCAACTCGTATTTCCCTGAGAAAAAAACCCCAAGCAGACATTAAGTCTACCTTGACTTTTCAGCCCTCTGCTCTTTGGGCTTTACTGGAGACACAATAAGGACGCAGCCATAAAACATGGGGTCCAACAGATGCTCGCTGAAGACAACCGCAGTCCATTATAGAGCCTGTTAAAGACACTCAGGCAGTTTGCTAACCCGCTGTCACCCTAGCCTCTGCACTCTTCACTGGGTTTTGTCTGCTGCTGCAGACAAAGATAGAGTTATAGCTCAGAATGACTTCCTCAATGTGAAGCTTAGGCAGGTCTTCTAAATAAAAGAAGAACGCCTGCTCCTATCAAGCAGATGTCATTTGTTGCCTGACAGATGTATCCATATTTTTTCTTTCTCGTCTTCTTAACAGTTTTGCTTTACGAGCCTCTTTTGTTTACTTTTCTGAGAGAATAAGGGCTGACATACAATTTACAAGGGCAAAGAAGTGGGTTTGGGAGTATGAGCTAAGCATATTCAGTTGATGTTTGCTTTAAAGGATGAGAACAAACAGAAAACCCCCTTCTGAAATCAAAAACAACTCAGACCAGTTGGGGCAATGGACATTAGGTGTGTTCCACTGTGCACTGCAAATGCCTGATCAGTACTGGGATCTGGGAATCTTGGAATCAGATTTTTTGTGCCGTTTTGGGTGGAGTGCCATTTCCATCCATGGTGTGGGGTGCTTACTTTGCAGTGTTTAGGTGGGTGGCATGTGTCAAAAAGACATCCACATGAATACCAGGAGCCTACTGGATTGAAACAGAAGGAACAGTGTTATTCGTCATTGGTTTCATTTTTAGGTTTATACTAATTTAAATTAAAATCAAGAAAGTCTTGTACCTTCAGCCAGACTGGGCGGTGACTTGAAGTTAATTGTGGACATTAAGACCATCAGTGTGGGTGCAGGGTGTGGCAGAGAGGAGAATGTCTGTGAAGAGCTAACAAATTAGAAAACAGGAGTTGCAGAAACCCTTAATTTTACTCCTCTCAAGTGCTTAGTTAAGCATAGCTGTAAAATTGCATATGGGTGACAGTCAAAGCCTGTAATGGCGATATTTAAGCAGTGCTGTAGGTCCAACAGCTGCGTCACAAAATAAACAGTGTAAAACCACCCAGGTTACAAAGTGGAACTAGTGTACTGTATCTTATAATACTGCCTAATTCATGTGAATTATTTTGAACCTAAACTTGTATTTATTGGGTGTGATCATCATTTAAAAAGGTTTCAATCACAAGCTCCATTTCATTAAGGGCACATACACGCATTAGATACAACACAGACATGGTAAAACTAAAGTACACCCTCAGATCAATCGATTACACCATGTCATTATTTATTAAACAAAAACCAAGCCAAATGAAGCAGAGCATGAAAAACAACGTCTTTGTTCACCTCAGGTTGAAGTTACCCAATTTCAAAGCCTTGACAGTTTTTTTATGCCCTCGTTTGCAAAATCTTAGAGCTGACAAATGATGCTCTTTGTTTTTACCGTGTAGTTTTAAACTGTTAAAAACACTGAGATTACCTTGTATAATTATTGCTACTGTCTCCCTAGATCAGACTGGAAGCAAAGAGAAACAGAAAGCCAGGCTTTAACCAGAATTAACATAGTGTGGACAGACTAGTTGATTCCCTATCACTGTTTCCTGGCTCCAGCTATAATTACACTGTGATTATATTTAATGGAGCGATTTCATCTCAATATTCTTGTCTAAATGATTTCAAGAAAGGAAAAAAAACAGCTTTGTTCAAACCTTTTTGTCCTGTGAGGACAGTGAAACACAAACATACCGATGACATGTCATTCATGCATCAGACCAGGGGTCCCCAACTCCAGGCCTCGAGGGCCGGTGTCCTGCAGGTTTTAGATCTCACCCTGGGTCTACACACCTGAATCAAATGATTAGTTCATTACCAGGCCTCTGGAGAACTTCAGGACATGTTGAGGAGGTCATTTAGCCATTTGAATCAGCTGTGTTGGATCAGGGACACATCTAAAAACTGCAGGACACCAGCCCTTGAGGCCTGCAGTTGGGGACCCATGCATCAGATAAACCAAAGCCGATCAAGCCCTCCTGCGGCTTCCCTCACAGAGCTTTGGCAGTCTCATGACTGTAATGGGAGACAAATGTGCTAGAACGTGGCTTAAACGGTCTGTAAGAGTGAGTAGGCAAATATCTATTTTTCCATTTAAAGTTTATGCTTTCAGAGGAATTTCGTATATTGGAGCGAGGTATTGGGGTAGAATGTGCTGACTCTATAAATGTGGCCAAACCACAGATTGAAGCCCTGCTCAAAACAGACGTATCCCATTATTACACAAGGGGAGAAGGGGCTTTCTGATTATACCGAGGTGGTTTATTCAAGTAATATAATCATTCGTGCTTAAAATGAAATATGTAGCTTGTAGCATCTCCACACTTGGCTTATAGCTGAGAAAAGAAACCCCCAAACTCTTTTTCAGTAGGAAACTCTTGACACAATGGCAGCACAGCGAGTTGTTTTCTAACAAATTAAAAGTCTGACATGTTCTCCGATTTATTTAACTTTGAAACATTTTCTGTTTTTAGTCATTTCCAATCTTAATAGGTTGGGCTATTTGCTAAGAATATATTTTTAGCTAATTTGCAATAGTAAAAGGCAAAACAGTCCAGTTGAACCTGGTTTAGGTGCTGAACATTCATCCCAAATGAAGTTAAAATGCTAAACTGTGATGAGCATCCTAACTTGCATCTTAGCATATAGGTGTTTTTGCCTATAGTAGCATTTGGATGTAAAAGAACTGCTGGCTTGTCTGCAGACTCTTGTTTTACTGCAACTCACTTTTGGTTTTGTATAGAAGTAATCAATAAAACAAACAAGCAAAAAATGATAGACACAAATATGAAATGTTTTTAAAAATGGCAAAGTTAATATCACTAAACCAACTAATACAAATGTAAAAAGTGGGTTGACATTCAAGGAGGCAGAATGTATCTACTTGAAATACCACCCAGGCTAATAGGTGAAATGTTCCTTTCGCCTCTGCTGTCCACTGGTTATCAGCAATGACAACTTGGCTCTTATTGATTCCTGTGTGTTTTGCATGTGTCATTCTGACACAAGGTAACCCCGTCTGTGGATATAATAAAGACTGGGTTCTGCTGATGGGTCTGTCCTATGAGCACAGAGTAAAGGAGGCCAGGAGCAGGGGTGTTTTGGTTTTTTTTGGGGGTTTTTTTTGTTTGTTTTTTTGTAAATTTCCCTCTGTTTCATGTTTATTTGGTGTGTGAGCGTGAATTTAGACCCGTCTGGTTATTTAAACACGATCAGACATTAGAGGTGTGCAACATAACCTTCATATTAATGTCTGGCCTCTAAAAAGCTAAAGAGATGGCTAACTGAGAATGTTACATTTCAGGATGCCTTTGCGAACACTTATAGATGAAACAACATGGCACGCCTCCACGTGACAATTCAACATCCAGTGCTTGTCAGAGCGACTATGATATTAAATGACAGTCATTTTCTTTCCACTCTGTAATTTTGGCTACAGCTATGATGCAGGTTAATGGTTGGTACTGCAATCTGAGAGAATAGTGTTTTATCCCAGTTCTTGGCGTAAACAACCAGTGAAGCAAGCGATCATCTAATTTTGTATGCCTCGTGCGATGCTCCGTAACATTTCTAACGCTTTCTTTTGGACATGTAATATGTTTCCATACCAGATGTATGGAGGGATGTGCAGTTGTACAAACAAAACAAAGTACTATGAGGATCCAAGTACCCAAAATCACTTTCAGTAAGTAGGCTTCAAGATAATAAAACTGTAAATTAGAGGGGAAAAACGTTTCATGGGAAGTGCAAAATGAAATTCTATCTGTGGTTGACAATGTTGGACCTCCAGTGAAGTGGGAATCCCTCGAGTCTTTTTCCATAGCAGCCTTTCTGTGCAGACAGTATGATAATGAAGAGTGCTCACTGGCAGCGAGGAACTATGAAACAGCTTGATATTAAACTGTTAAATATGAAGGGATCCTCTTCGGACAGCTTCAATGTGGCAAATTGAAACTTTATACTTTCACGACTGGCTCGATTTCCTTGTTGGGAGTGCTCGTGTTTGCCATTATGATCCTAAGTCACTCACAAAGGTACAATTGTGAGCAACAAACGGGGCACAAAGGCGGACTCTGCACCAACCACCTGCTCTGTCTCATAAAACGTGATGTGCACATTACACATCTCAGAATTTCTTTCACCAATCTCAACAGAACAATTCTCATTTTTCTGTAATGATTCCTGTTACGTGTGCAGGTGCAATTGTGTTCCTGTACTGTAAGGGGTGTTTTACAGCTTGCTTTTACCAGCTATTAACATGCTATTTCCTGCGTGGAATTTTTATGAATTGCTTACCAGAAGTGTTTGCAGACAGTCTTTTCCCCCACTGTCTTTTAGTACAGCTGATTCGCCACTTTTTGACTTCCTTCAAAGCCTCTCTTAACCAGTCTCGCCACTCAGCTAAACATCAGTGAGCAATACAAAGAAAATCGGCTCTCTTTAGGTTATTCTCTCCCAAGATCAACATCATGGAGCAGCGCATCATTTTGCTGTGGTTACATATTGGCAAAAAATACCAGTACTTTGTGAAGACGGGAGTTATAAAATAGTTTGAAATGAAGAATCTTGGAGAAGCACAATTTCATTGCCCTCCTGTGTTTCTGCCTGCTTCACTAGATTCAGACAGTAAGGGCTTGTTCTCTGTGTAATGTAATCAAATGACTGCAGAGAGGAGCGTAAAATGAAAAGAGACACAAACTTTTTGCAGACAGATGCAAAATGACCACAGAAATACAAACCAGTTCCCCAAAGCCATAACAGGACCTCATGGAGATGCAAAGACCACAAAGACACACAAACAACTGCAAGAAAAAACACAAAGTTTCTCACTGCCAAGAACTAGGACCTTTAGTCCATTCAAAAGTTGTTTTTGGACTCCTTTCTGGGCATTTTTCTCCCTGTGGTTCATTCCAAACATCTCATTTCAAGATTAGGAGTGCTGATTTTTATGGAAATACACAGCAGCGACCTCGCATGCAGGGTCACCAATAACTAGTTGACAGTGTGCAAAAGAAAATGAATGATTGAACCTGTCGATCCCGATTATACACACGGAGATGGACAGTTTTGTCCTCACAGCCCTTTGCATTCCCTGCATAATAATAGCCTGTTGTCAAGGAGGGAGGAAGGAAGGAGAGGGGAGGAAACTGCGCTGAAAGAAAAGCTGCTGATCCAAGTGTGAGGTTAAATGCTCTGGAAGCGCAAAGAGGGAGGGAGCAGTGTCTTATTCTGAGAGGTGTGGGTTTAGTGTTGGATCTTTTCTTTCTTTTTTTTTTTTTTTTTTTTTTTTTTTTTTGTCGTCAATAATTGACGGAAAAAAACCCGCACTTGGATCAATATTACCAAATCAGTTTTTCAGGGGCGTTATCGCTGGCTCTAAAGTCTATTTTTTTTTTCTAAGTCATGCCACGTTTGAGATTACGCCTGTGATGGGCTGAGCCATCATCCTCCTCTCGCTCACACTCTGCTGCCGCTCAGACACAGAGGCTGGTCGAAAAGTTACCAAAGTTGCCTTGCCTTCTTTTATTTGTTTATGTATTTGACATTGTCATCGCGAACACCTCATTCTGCTGTTCACCGGGCCCGCCGCAGCATGCTGGACTGACGGCTTGGAGGAATGGCATCGGCTGTGTTTGAAGGGACGTCCCTGGTCAACATGTTCGTCCGGGACTGCTGGGTTAACGGGATCCGGAGACTTATTATCAGTCAGAGCGGAGAGGAAGAGGAGTTTTTCGAGATCAGGACCGAGTGGTCTGACAGGAACATTTTATACTTGCATCGCAGTTACTCTGATCTCGGGCGGCTGTTTAGGAGACTGGTGGAGTCTTTTCCGGAGGACAGACGAGATCTGTCCAAATCTCCACTGATAGAAGGTTGGTGTGACAGCGGATAACATGTGACAGTTACTAATCTACAAGGCAGGAAGCGATGATCGAGCAGTATCAGAAAGAACTCATTTCTATTATTATATTCCCGTTCAGGAGCGTAGCTATTGCATTTATACTGTAAGTGTAGGAAGTAAGTTGGCCACCCTGTCCTCTTTAGCACTAAGAGTTTCAGATTCCAGAAGAGAAATATTTACTCTGAAGTCCCGAAACAAAGAACTAATTTTGGCATTTCGAGCAATTAAACTTGCAGATGGCATTTCTATGTAATTAGTCAAATAATTGAAGCTCAGTTTTCTACTATTTACCAGACCTTTGCAGCATTTTTCAGCAATATGAAGCTACCTCGAACTAAATCGGCACTGACCACTTTTTTTTTTTTTTTTAACTAATTGAAAAGTTTGTCTTGGAGTTTGCGGTGGACTCCCTAAAGGAAATCCTCCTGCAGATTATATTCCTGTTTACATTTTGCAAGAGATGGTACAGAAGTTGTAGTCTTTGTGCGTTTTTGTGCATTGCAGTCAGATCCAGATTCGCAAATGATCCATTGACACCATAGGGCTGATTAAAGTGCTGGTGATTAACAAAGCAGAATACACGAAGAAAAATCTAGAGCTTAATCAGCAAAGGCTCGGTTCTAATTTGAAAGGCTTCAGAGCCTTGGAGGTTAATAATTAACATTGTGCTCTTTAGGATGTCACATCAATAGTCTGTGGCTCTGTGCTGACAGCATGTTTCTAATCTATGTCAATATTTAGGACCTAAGACTGGACACACTATGTGTGACAAGTGAGACCTGGAGACACTATACCAGTGTTTTGGAGACATCCCTTTAGCTGGGACTGGAAAGGCTGGCTTCCTGCTCAGGCA